GAACTGACAAGATATTCACGCAAAGTCAAAGAGAAGAGGATTCTAAGATAACTATGAACATTTTAATATAAATTTGAATGTAACTTTACAGAACATCCTAAAATTCTCGCCTTCGTGGCCCATGGAGGTCTTCTGGGCATGACTGAAGCTGTGTCAGCAGGCAAGCCGATGGTGATAATACCGTTTTTTGGTGACCAACCTGCCAACGGCGCAGCGGCTGCCGAAATCGGTTTAGCGAAAGTCGTCCCTTACGTTGAACTTAGTGAAAAGGCCCTCTCTGAAGCTTTAGAGAATGTTTTAAGCGCTGAGTGAGTATCTAATTGTATTTGTATTGTAATTTCAATGTCAATAGGTGCAAAGTGTTTATGATATTTATTTGGATCTCGAAAACTGTATTAGCTTAAAATTGAACCTAATGAAATTTTATTCAACCAAGTGGCTCACATTTAGATATGTTTTTGGGAAATTAATAGCAAATAAACACGCATTTGCTCCTTAGATGTGTTGCAAATATTTCGATGCAATCTTTACTTACCACAGTCTAGTGTCATCTTCTGAGATGACACTAGACAACACATTATAAAATTGTAAAAGGCAGAAAAGAACATTGACTGCACAGTGATGTTGCGTGACGTGGTTAAATTGTTAGTAATGCATCAAGCACGCACACGACAATCTCTGCATGCAATATAGACCTTACGATGAATAATGAATCTGCCATTCTGAAATTAAATCGCGGACAGATGAATGGTATTACTTAGTTAGAGAATTTTGTTTGTTATTAAATTGATCTACGCTTTATTTCACACACAACATAACAAATCTCATAAAAACGCTGCACAGGGATGGGTAGAAGGAAATAGTTATTCCCAGTTGCGTTGTGAGTAATATTTTAATAAATAAGTTAGAGATTTTTAAACCTTCCAAACCTTCATTTACGTTGGCGTTCATTTGAATGTCAACACTTTAGCGACTAGATGGACTTATAAACGTCTTCTTGATGAAATTGTACGTATTAAGAAAAACATAAAAGTAGTAGTACCTAGTAGTAGTAATGCAAACATCATGACTGTAGCTGACATTTGATTAATTAATTAATTTGTTATTTTTTTATTATTTTATTTATTTAATATTTAGGTAAATATTTACACGTAATCGATGTGATTTTGGCACGTCTAGTCTCTACCTATAAGGTACGACTAAATAATTTGTGCTCTGGAAAAAATTGCTCATTGCCTCAATGTTTCCGTAAACGAAAAAAAAATAGCGTATATCGATCGATAAGAAACAAGCTGTATTTCGTAATTTTGATTATGCAGCGTGATAACACAGTGGAATATGGTTAGACTGTGGTGACATACAGTAGATAAGAAGAATTTGTAACCACCACCGAGGACTTGGATAAAAAAATAAAATAACATGTGCTTTTTTTTTTGAGTAGCATTCAGTACCAAAAAAATAATATTTACACCACCATGAAATTACATAAAAAAGGGGTTTTTTATTAAAAATAAGTGTACATTTGACCTCCGCCTCACCTGATGGAAAGTGACGATGAAGTCGACGATGTGTGAATTATCATTAATTTAAGTGAATGATAATAGTTTTATATAATTTTATTATAAAAGAGATGAGAGATACAATTTTATTTTTATTAAAATTACGACATTGATTAACACTTAAATATTTTTTAATGTTGTGGGTAATCCTTTACGTAAATAGAGCTGGGCTACCTTGAATCAGAATGTTCGTAAGTCAATGTAAAGTCAATAATTTTTGTTTAGAAAACAAACAAGTCTGCAGTACATGCTGCTGAATTGTCCACCCCTGATTGGTTAATTAGTAGTACTAGTGCCTATCTCGGCACGTATTTTGCGTAGGGCCTGCTCTTAGGGTGCGATCTTCTTCTTCGATCTTCTTGTGACCTGTAAAATATCCGAGTCCGCAAAAACTCTACATTGATTGATTTTTATGTCGGATGCGGAAGCAGATATCTTAAAATTTGCAAATGATCAGCAGGAGCAGTCTGCGGCGCCGTTCCTAATACAAAATACACGCAATGCACGCTAAGCGACTACACGCCCTGCGCCACCACCGCCCTCAGATTTCACTGACAACAATGAATAACTTGCAAATTCTCCTTTCATACTTAGCCCGTTAGTCTTAGGACTGTCAAATTGCAAGGGGCTTGAGCTTTTCTTATAAAATTAAATCCGTTAATAATTCGAATACAACTTAATCATTATTGCCTATTGACTGAAGTCCATACGTCGTACTGCATCTCGCTAGCTAACGCCAGGAATCCTTTAAAAACAATTTCTTCTTCTATCGGTGATCTCGGACTATCAATTGCACATGGTGTATTAATTAACGTTTGATTGGCGGGCAAAATCGTTTGACGATTGCTATTTTTTATGAAACTGAAATTGCGAAGGTGAGGAACACGGAGTTTGTTGTAAAAAGGCAAACCTTTTTCTTTTGCAGAATGCGTGTAGCTGCTCGTCGTATTTCTAACATCTGGAAAGACCGACCGACAAAACCGCTGGACACAGCTGTCTACTGGACAGAACGTGTCATCAGATGGGGCCATCAATCTCCTCTACACTCCTCAGCCAGAGACATGACGTTTATACAAAAATCTTTATTAGACGTAGCTGCTGCCATACTCATAATTATTCTAGTTTTAGTGTTAGCTCTCAAGTTCCTAATATCTTTCCTTGTAATTAGATTGCTAACTTCGCGTGGTAAACAGAAACTGCATTGAGCCATAATAAAAGTTATATATAGTAAAAATTGGTAGGAAAATAATGGTTTTATTTGTCATTCATCGTGAGCGTGTCTCGCGTTTGGCACTGTGGGCGCTTGACGAGTTCGATTAGGACTAATCGAGCAGCACAAACTATTCTGATTTGGTTCCAGTCGGGGTAGCACCCTCGGAATTAATTTCGTTACTCTGGCACTCTTAACGCGCATTTATTCAACACGAATTTCATCGCGCTCACGCCGCGCGGAGACCCCGTTGCAGCGCCGCCCGCCGCACAGCGACCGCGTGCATCTCACTGTCATGGCAAAGTACGCTCTATTGATATAGCTTTTACGTTTTAACTTAAATGAACATCCCGGGCGCCCGGACGAGTCTGGTTTGTCTTTGGTTGGTCTAAACGGTGACCTAACGGCGACTTCCTGGTAACATATGAGATTTTTTTTCCCATTTGTCGCCAGTAGAAATCACTACTGGCAACAACTGGGATTTTTTATCCCGTTTGTCACCACCTGGTACCATATGTGATTTTTTCCCCATTTGTCGCCACTGGAAATCACCACTGGTAACAATTGAGACCTTTTATTCTCGTTTGTCACCACCTGGTAACATATGGGATTTTTTCCCATTTGTCGCCAGTGGGAACAAAGCCAGTGGTGACAACTAGGACATAAGTGCTCCATGAAATATATCGCCTTGCGACATACAAACTTGCAAAAAAATCTCTGCTACATCCAGTCTAGCCAAGGATGGAATTACATTCCATTTATACGTCTATTTTTTACGTTTATTACTAGTTTTCTATTTTAACACATTTTTTCACAATGATCACATTGATTTGATTGATTTATCGATTTCATAGAAAATATTTTAAAACATTCGAACATTTCACATAAGCATGCCTATGAAGTTCCTTAATTACGACAGGCAATCACAGACACAAAAATGCAATACTTCATGAACGCTGTTTTTTCGTTATAGAGAAGCGAACGTGCTTTTTATCTCCGATTTTTATCGTTAGATTATGTAACGAAGTTTATTCAAATTGATTTAATAATGCAATAAATTATAAATAATGAAAATAAATTGTAATTGTTTTAATATAATTCATCAAAAATCATGCCGTACCATAAGAAAAAAAGTACAAATAAGAGTACATACTTACATACAATACACATAAATTACAAAAGCAATCATAATAACCAAATAGCTAACTGTCCTTATCCTACACAAGATAAGCAAAAGACAGAAAGAGATCCGTTACGTCAATTTAAATTTTTGAACCACAAGCGATTGAAATATTTAGATTTCGAATAAAGAAACTAAAGAGTTGATTTATTGTTAATCGTATTTTAAAATTACTTTTTATTAAATGTTAATAATAAATCACTAACAAAATAATGTTGTATTCGTTTTAGGTACTGCTTGGAGTTATTAATTAGAAGTCCGAAAATACATTTGCACAAAATAATGTTTGCTCGAATTTTTGTAACCCCAAATGTATTTTTTTTTTCAATTATTTTAGAAATATTATAAAACAAACTAACTTAATCTTTTCTTTGTAATAAGCAACCAAAATCCCCTGAATGCATAACGGTTTCATTATAAATCGGTTTTCGAGAATATGAACCTTTAAGTTGGAATCTAGAAATTCGAAACATCGATACATTTCTTACAGCACATCAGAACTACTAACAGAGAGACACAGCTATTTTCACATTTATAATATTTGTATGTACCTATATATCTGCACAACTTTTATTACTTGAAGTGAATTCGTATAAAATTCAACATAATAGTATAAAATTAATTAATATTAACATTAAGACTACTTCATCACTCTTGTGTTCAAGTAGTTTTCACCAGAAACTAAATATGGTGCATTTTGTTACTTCCAGTAGAAGCTGAATATGGATAATTTTTGGGCCTTTACACTGTGGCAAACAAAATTAAGCAATACTGCAATGACTTTACAATTTAAATGAAATGCTTTAGTTTTTTTTATATTTCTATACATGTCACTACGTTCGTATAGGTTAACTCTGGCCATGACTATCATTGGCTCCAACACTGACCGCGAAAAGCCGGATAAACTCCGGACAACGACACACACATACAAAAGACTTTGGATTGTATTTTATTTTCATCCATTTTTCATATACGTGATTAATCAGTACGTATCGGTATCGTCACCTTGATAACTTTCCGTCTCTAGTATATTCATGAGAATCGATTTATTTTTAACCGACTTCAAAAAGGAGGAGGTTCTCAATTCGACAATATGTTCTTTTTTTTGTATGTATGTTATGCGATATCTCCGGTATTTATGAACAGATTTTCATGATTCTTTTTTTGTTGGAAAGGGGGTACTTCCATAGTGGTTTTATTTCATTTTGAAGAAAATCATCCACCTCGAAGAGTGGCTGTTCACGCAAAAAGGTTCATTTTTATAAATAGCGCCTAACTTTAATTTAGGAGCAATTACTTTAATAGTTGATTTGCTTTGTCTCCAATTCAAGGCGTTTTTCTCGCGATATACTTTAAGTAGTGAGAACCGATTTTTATTATCTCCAGTGTCAAGTCCTGTATAGTGGCGAACTAGGAGATATTTCAATAAAACTTAGCAAATAGACGTAATTCCACGTACTTTTGAGGTCGGTTTTTTAGTACTCTGTACTGAGATTATTATAGGCCTATTCTGTGTACGGACATGACATGAATGTCTGTTTTATATGTATATTTGTAAAAATAAGCTAGTGTTGTTGATTTATGTTTGCGTGACACCATAGTGACACGACTCAATATTGCATTTGAGTGCACCTGTTTGCTTGTAGTATTACCTCCCCGCCCCTCAAAAAGTGGCAGAAAGTTATGTTCGAGAAATAACGCTAATAACGCCTCTCGTCCTATATGCCCTAAGGCTGTAATAAAGCACTGCATACGTTGAGCTCAAATTGAACACTTTCCACCAGTTATATTTTTAAAAAAGATAGGAAGACGAAGGGAAGACGTATGACGATTAGTAGATAATGTTTGTTTTTGAAATCCCAGTAAGTATCGTATGACTTATTTATTATTATATTACGACATTTATGGCAGTTAGTGAATAGTATACATTTTGCAGAGGCCGGGAAGTAAGGTATTGCTGGACGAGTGCCAGCGAGGCCTTGTATTATACGAGTCAAGCACTCCCCGTTCCCGCCGAGACTTGTATAGAATTTTTCTCAAACAATGTGAGGATATAATAACAGACTAAAGAGAAGCAGATGTTAAATAGAAAAAGTAAAAAAATAATTAATATTAAAAGTAATATTTAACATGTTAAGACAAGGTTAAGACAATTGCGAAAAGAAAATGTTATTGTTTTTCCAGGCACATTAATTGTAGGCTGCTTTTTAATGATGTGTTAGAATGGCCGTATTTTTTACCACATTAACTTTTTTACTCATTTCGTGACCAAATTATAGACGAAAAACAAAAGAATACCAAAACACTTTAGTTTAAATGTTACCGCCATTTCTTTTTTTTTTTTAAGTAAGCGGTACAGGTAGGTATTTTTAATTCTCGCAATCATGAACACTGTTTTTCTTTTGCCTGTTTACATAGTTAGTTATTTAATATGTAGATTTAAGTTTAAAGAAGAGAACAGTAGTTAATAGATTTTCACACTTACTTTGCAGGCCTTGGCTGTGAAGAAGTCGCATGGTCCTTAAATGTCAAACTTTCCGTGTCCGTTTTTTGAAAGTAATACAAACATTTCCAAGCACAGATCAAATATTCACTTCCGTGTTTCCGAGCACGTTAGAGAAAAATTTATTACCAAGTTTCTAGAAATTTCCATGAAAGTATTTGTTCGCCATTAATGGTACATTTTTGTGATAGATACCATAAACCATTATTATTTATTTGTACACCATATTGTAAGACATCATTTTCCATTTCAATTTATATCAATTTAGATGCCAGAATCTTAAATTTATTGTTTTCTATAGTATTTACTTGTGTCTATTCGTGAATTTGTAGCTTTTAAACAATATAATATAACCGTCACCAACTATAGCTATGTATCGTATTGACCGTTACGCTTTATATAGGGGAAAAAATGTATGGGACATGCAGGGGATTTTTTCCACCCTGTAGGTATATTGTTCTAAGGAGCAGTTAGTCTTTGCACTTGTGCCATGTTGGTTATAACTTAATTTGATTTTCATATAGCGATGATAAAAATGTTGTTGCGGTTGCTCTTTTTTGTTAGGTTGTCAAATTGATACCAAACTATGGTTTATTTATTAAACAAAATATAACAAATTTACTTATCTTCTACGAGTATTAAATAGAAATATTTTATAATTAGTTACAGATAGGTACCTGTACAAGTATCAGTAGATATTAGAGATGAAACTCATTCCAAAGGTGATGTATTTTTTCGCTTCATTAAAATTCACTAGAAGTTTTAATATAGCCAAAGCGGTATTAAAATTTATACTTAGTTGTTATTTTAGAAGTAGGTATGATATATCATATATTACTTGATGCGAAAAAAAGAGTAAGTAATGACTCTTTTTTAAAAAAAAAGAGTAAGTAATGACTCTTTTTTTAAAAAAAAGAGTGATAACTCTTTTTTTTTTCATTTTGATGTCATAAATTTGTTGTTTGTGATCTAACTACAAAACTCGAGGCCAGTTTTGCTGACAAAAGGAAAAGTGCAGAAAAACTAGCCTTCTTCCACCACAATTTGCTTTTATTTAAGTATGAGTACTAAATTTACAGATTACGTTATCTAACTTCATAATTCTTTACAGTTACAAGTAATAAACAGATTGTCAACGATCGTGTAGTTGCTATTTATCCAATTACTGTCCTCTTTAATTAATAAAGCAACTTATTTGGAGTACCGATTGTGAATTTTTCTCCGTCCGGATATTGTGGCTTTAAGGTGGTTTTCCACTGGCGAGGCTAGGCGAGGCGAGACGAGAATACAAATTTGTATGGCAAAATTTCAATTCTCTCCTCGCGCATCTGCGGTGGAAAAGATTTAAATTTTAGATAAAAATGAGAAAATTTAAATGTTTGTTGATGTAATATTATACTATTAATATTAATAGAGCATTATATTGCTTAACGGAAATACGATTTGTCGTGTTTCGATTCTCGAATATCAATCGCGAGATTGTGGGGTACGTAGTACGTACGATTTGAGATTTAAAAAAATGGTTTCATCTGATTCTTCTTCTGTTAACATTATCTAATAATAATTTACGGGACATGTTTCTTCAGCCGCGAATTTATCTTTAGATGAACTAAACAGCCCTGGCATATAAATGGCAATTTTTGGTGGAAATGGACCGGCGATTTTCAATTCTCGTCTCTCCTCGTCACTTCACGCCTCGACGGTGGAAAACTACCATTAGACGCCGCCTATTATCACCGGCTCGCTGTGGCAGTCAGACTGTGTGGCGGCAGTTGGACGAGTGTCGCCAAGGAGAGTGTCACACTTGCCAATATTTTCGATAGTGTTTTAGTTACGTGGATTGCCACATGTCAGCGATTGCAAATTGTTTGAACCGTTTGGTAAAATCATAAATAATTTATGAAGTTCACGAGGCCGTTTTATTGCTCATTAGGGGAAAGATAAATTCCCGAAAGTTCTATTAACCGGTATAAAATTAGGCCGGATAGTAAAATTACGCCGAATACCGGACATCCGTTTCATCTCTAGCATATATTACAAATTATAACTCTCTTATGGCGAGTTATAATGGGTTTTTAATGATTTATTTCAGTTTTAAAACAATAATAATAATGCTAATAATAATAATAATATTTTTTATTCATCATCATAGGTAATTGTACATAATATTAGCAGTTTTGATCAAAAGAGGTTTAAAGTCAAAGAGTCGAGTAATCCAGGAATGGAGCTATAGCAATGTACCACACGCAAAATAGGCGCCCAAATATCGAGTTGCGGACACCAGCTCGTTACACCATACCATGTTCCCTCACGGACACGAACATTTGCCTGTAATGTAACATTCAAGATTCGTTTTCGAGAATTACATTACAAACTGCCTCTCTCACCGACGAGCATTCGCCATGTAAGAGGTAGTGCAACAACAAAATGAAATTGAAAAATTAACAACGATTCAGTTGTAGCAAGCATATATTAACAAAAGTATATGTGCTCTATTTATACAGCCATTTGACACGACAAGAAGAAGCCATTCAAGCCACCAGTTCACTCTCTAGTTTGTTTATTTTGATGACTAATATTTTAGCCATTTCACTGCAAAGACTGTACTCTTCAGACATCATGGTAGCCGCATCAGGGTTATTTTCACATATATCGACAACAGCTTGGTATGAATCAAAGCTTTTCTTGACATGACTCAGCTGTTCACTTTTATTTACTGCAATATGTTTCAAACTATTCCTCCCAATGCATGCATAGGCGCTTACAACCGGCTTCACTAAGTCATGATCGAGTTTCTTAGGCAATACACCATTTTTGTCTTTAACAGAGTTCAAAAAGTGTTCATAATGCTCAATACTCTTCTCACATAGCATGTTAATCTTCTTCAAAGCATGTGGAGTAGGGTTCTCCCCACACTTATTTAATCTGTCAAGCTTTATATTCAAAGTGTCAAGATATGCCTCCCCAAGTTCAAGCCAGAGTTGTCTGCAATACTGCATGTAGTATGTTGGATTTATTTCTTTGATTAAAGCCTCGAGCATATCAATACGGCGTTTATGCATCTTAGAACGCCGTTCGTCGTCTTCTTCAAAGAACGCCAGGTAAGTATATGACTGAGAACTGTCTTGTACTAACTTAATATAATCTGAAGCCAATGTTTCAAGTGTGTAATACTCTTTAGCTTTGCTCAGCCAACTTTGACAATTCAGAAATACTTCCCTGGCGTCTTGGTATGTGAGAAGGAATTTATCTGTAGCTTTACTTTCGTATTTTGAAACATCCAAGTCGGGAAATTTTAACATTTTGATATCACCACCACAGATGTTTTCATCATCTTCCAGTGTTAGATGCGACAAATCTGGAAAAGAAAAAATCAACTATGTTTATGTGTTTTCCATGGTGTTGACCATATTCTTATAGAGTAATATTTTAGAAAAATGGGGAAAAGAAATCTTCAATATAATGGAAATACAATGAAGTCATACTTATTACCAATTGATAAGTTTTTCTGTGATATAATTAAGTGTTAGTTTTGAATTAATGTTCACTGCTGGAATATGGATATCAAGTATAAAACCCTTATTTCCAAAAAGAGATAAACCTTCTTGGAAGGGTTCAGAGGAAGATACCACAGCTCTTCAGGCTCTTTGTTGTTAAATCCTATGTCGAGAGCCTATGCATATTGCCCCCTATAAGTCTGGAAGAAAGACATGAAATCCTGATGTAAAAGTACTGACTACCAGACACAAAACATCTTCAATAAAAAGAAATCTTCAAACCATCATGTGGTCACCATCTCAAACTGATTTTGTGCTCCTACCAAAACACGTGCTGTACACAATTTCTTCAGCAACAGAGTAGTGCATAACTGGAATATGCTACTGTTGATGTTGTTTTTACTGTCTATTTAAAACAAAGAGGAATAGTAATAGTTTATTGAATGTCAGGATGTTTAACGACCATGATATTCAATTATTTTTTGTGAAATTACTCCACTAGTTTGTTACAATTGTTATACAAAAATTTAATACTTAGAATCCAGCCCCATCAAAGGAATTTCTTCCAAGTGTTCAATCTTTGTATTAATAAATAAAGACTATTAATTTCATCACTGTGTGATGTTGATATTATAGTTAAAGTTCTGCCCTCCTTGTCATAAACATTATTATCCAAATTTTTTTATCTCAGGAAAATATCACACTGATTTTGCTTAACAATAAAACTGAAATGAAATAAGACATAAAGAAACGCTTATAGGGAGTTTAGTTTATTCCAGATTTTTTTTATAATACTAAGTGACGGGACAAACAAGTCCAGTTCCTGGTGGAAAGCGACACACCTGTCCCTAACACTTGCAGTGCCATTCAGAGCTTTAAATCACAAAGATGTAAAGAATTACATAGAGGGGCACTGCCACTGCGCCTGAGACATAACTTGACTTGACAAGTCCCATGTGCCTGTAATTTCACCAGCACTTCAAAACTGAAATGTAGTAATGTTTACATCACTGCTTGGTGGCAGAAATAGGTAAAGTGGCAATATTTCCCTGTTACTAAAATACTTCTACTAAAATGCTTACTAGATATGTTATTGACTCAATTTCCCTAAAAATGTTAATAACATTGTTAATGATAAGGAGGGCAAAGCTGCTCTTCTAAACTTGAACAATAAATAATATTTACATTTCTTGGCAAATCAACTAACACTTTATTAAATTAACAATTTATTGATAAATAAATAAATATACAATTAATCTTAGTTATTTACCTGTAACAGCATCAGTCATCTGTTCTGCATCATTCATAAGTCGATCGTGGGAAGCTGATAAAAGAAGCAGGTAATATTTAGCCCAGCATCTGGCAACATCAGCAGATCTATGCTTAAAAGTTTCCATTCTTGCTAAATGTGCTTCATCTTCATTTTCAGCCAATAATTTCTCTTCATACATATCAAGTATTGTAGACGCAGCAGCTAAGTGATGCCGTGACTGTGTAAATCCTTTCTGTTCTGCAAAGAACTGGGATAATGAAGCAGAATTCAAAGCCCAATCTATTGGCTCATAATCTGAATATTGCAACTGCCTTCTTAATGTAATGTGACAATAAATTCCTGACTTCAGGTTTTCCTTTAATGAGCCAAACACTTGAGCTAAATAATACAGTGTTAAGGTGTAAGCTTTCTCCATCAACATAAAGTCACCAACATTGCCTTCAGGATTGTTTATGAAATTTTCAATTGGTATTGGCATTTGCATCGTACATTTGAAGGTTTCATATAATTCTTTAGCCTTTAGTAAAAAAGTCTTGGCTTTCTCTGGCTCATCTCTATAAGACCAAAGTATACCATGGTTGTGGTAAACATTCATAAGCGTAATTACGACTTCAGGTTTTACCGAGTGTGGAGCAAGAATTTCTTCAGCCCTTGTAAGTATCTTTTCACTCGCTGTAAGCTCCTCGGTTTCCATGTCAATAATCCCTATATTCAACAAAATAGCACCCAACATAGCGTCAAGCTTATCTCTCTCTATATTAGCCTCAGTATCTCTGATATTCATGAGCGAGTCGCACATATTCGATAAAATTTCGTTTGCTTTATACTTCGATAAATACGGTTCATGTTCTAGATCATTCTTGCTATCCTCATCTAGTAACTTACGTACCTTACCATAGTTCTCTTTGAAGTCATTTATAATCTCTTTCGCAGTCATAATCATGGTTTTTATCAGAATTGTTAAAAATGTATTGATGAACAAGTTGTATTTTCAGTGATCTTCGTGAAAGGAAAACGAAAAATTTGCTCCTTAGATCTAACTTGTTACGGATTTTTTATTGATTGCCCAAATCCAAATTATGAGGTGGGTGATAGATAAATAACGTCACGATGAAAAAATCAATGATCAGCCGTCAAATAGTATCACCACCGTGACTTTTTACGAATGAACTACGACGTTCCAAAGTCAGTAAAGTTGTGTTTGTGTTGTATACACAGAAGTTGTATTGTACCGTCCGTTCCGTTCCACTATCTGTCACCGTCACACTCACTCGTCACGACCTTGGAGGATGGAAAAAAAATAAAAGAAGTCACGACATACGACGAACATCTCAAGTCTCGACGACAGCGAAAATCATGCGCGATCTCCGTTCTTACTTCTTATCTATTCTATTCTATAAGAGACTGGCGACTGCGCTACTGATTGTAGTTAAACTCTAGAATGAACCAAAAAGTAATTCGATCAGTATAAATACCGTGTAAATATTGTAAATACAAATAACATAATTGTAGTATGTACAAAATTGATCAAAATAATAAACACGCCGCATGGTCTTACAAACGAATAATGCGACAAGCTTAAAATAATAACGCACACAAGCCTGTAAAACTGTGAAAGTTATTGCGGATCATTTTCTCAAATTAAATTAAACGTTACATCAAAGTGATTATTAATAACGACTGTTAATAAGCAGCCAAACTTACCAAAACCGTCTATTGTGATGTAAGTGACAGGCGTGACAAAATCACGGTGATTTTTGACCGGCTTCAAAAAAAGGAGTAGCATTTGCATGTATATTACGCGATAACTCCGATAAGCATTTTTGTGAACCGATTGTGATGATTCTTGTTTTGTTGGAGAGAGGGTATAAAAGTGGTCCCAATTAAATTTAAAGAAAATATTCCAACTCCAAGGGTCGTATTCTAGAACTCTACTCAATGCTCAGGGTCATATTTTATACCAACACGAAATCATACATTTTCCAAACTATGTACCGATATTGCTTCGTATCAAATATTCACTGAGTGGATATCAACGCGAAACCATTTTTTGTGCGTCTTCGAAACTGTATACTTACCCGCGTGATGTACTACCTGAAACAGTACGCGTGATGCTAATATTACGCGTGATGCTTAGTGTAATGAATAATGTGTGATGGTAACATCACGGAGTGATGTTAGTTTAATACTATTACGCGAAATGCAATGTAAATGCATCTAATTTGGAATATCGCAGTAGAACAATGTTTGTATTAGTACCCCAATTAGTGCGTAGGTATTGATATACCATCACCTGAAAATTCTGCGAATTGAACTGAAAGCAGAGCTATTAGAGATTTAGTAAAAGTGAGGTTATGTAACAACTTATAATTAACGTCTGATTTTTGGAGTGCATTTGTTATTTTACAACTTACTAGATGGTGTAAACGAATTAAACAGTAGACATTTAAAATGAAATTGAATAACTTGTTAATCATTGCTTGATTACGTGGCAATTTCTAATGTAAAATTTAACCAGGGTGAGTGTAGGTTGCCATACGGTTCGTAATATTTCGTAATTTTTGTTTGATTCTCTCTAGTAATATGTAAATAGATCTTGTTTATAATGCAAGTTTAAGTTCTATAAATGCGTTTTATAGGTTGTTTTAAAACGCATCGCTTTTTTAACCGACTTTAAAAAAGGAGGAGGTTGTCAATTCGTCGGTATGTTTTTTTTGGTTGTGTTAGACTGTGTGATGTTGTTGGTAATAGTGATATCACAGTGTAATATTACTTTTACGGAAATGTAATGTGATATCACATTACTTTTCGAGGTACTGTTTTGCGCACGTCTAGTATACTGACATTTTGGCCCGCATTGCTCTTGTAAAACTATATCCAATAATATATAGTTTCGAAATCTGATTCAGTAACGGCAATGTATCAACGCAGCGCGCACGCGGGCTGTATCCATGAATATATAGTTTCTGAAAATGTATAGTTTCGAAATCCTATTTCGAATATTGATATACAGTTTCGATACGATATTCAGAAAAAGCTATATTACCCATTCCTACAATAAACCACTACTTTAACTTTTTAATTTATGTATTAAACCACAGACACCACTAAACTTCGTATACGTCATAGCTTGACATTTGCGTTCCGTTTATTTACAGAAAGTTTTTATGTAAAATATACGATACAAACACCTACAAATGAATAGATTGAATTGAATATTATTGTGTATGTACGTACATGACGTCATAAAGGCTACACCCCATTTTATGATACGATATGGTAATGACATGGTCGAAAAAAAATGATAAGTTATCTCAAAGGCGATTCCCTAAATACATTTGAAAATATAGGTATATTTTTTATATTTTTTTACCAACTTAATAAAACAATGACCATTTCATATAAATCTGTTAACTTGCCACTTCAAAACCACACTCAAGGTACTGTGATAGATCTTTATTTGCTTGAAAGGTGTACATGGAAAATGAGTAAACTAAATTATTAATTTGCACTGTTTATTTTTAAAGTTTCTTCTAATTTTTCATTTCACCACCTTCATAAAACCTTAGGTAGGTATGTACACATACAACTGCATTCCACCTGGCATGATTCCCTTACTCACAAACAATCCTAGCTTGATTATTTACATTGTACTGTAAAATTAATAAATAATAATGGTTATTATAATGTAGTTTATTCATTGATATAAAAATCCAGTCAACAGTAAAAAAATAGAAAAAATGCAACAGATTTATGAATAAGGGGATGTCCAAGATCTTAAAACTAGTAACATCATAATTAGACTATATCCTAATTCTTAGGACTTAAAAGCATTTGATAAAACTTAATGCCTGACCAAATAGATCATCAATAGCGTACAACATATATATGGATATAAACATAATGGATGTTCCAACTTCTTGCCCCTGAATCTCATAATTGCCATTGACACATACCTACTTTTTGCACATAGGGCTATATCTAAATACAAGGATCCGCTCCTGTCTTAAGTGTGATGTAATTCAGTTTGCTAAACAATTAAAAATAGTTTTTAGTCAGCTCTTGAAAGATCTATATTGGTCAGAAATTAGATTTTTGTTTAGTATCCTAGTAGGACATAGGCTTAAACAGTGCATTCTACATGACAAATGGCAAAGCCAAAAATACATGTATTAGGAACCTGTGTCAGGTTCTGGTTCTTCTATTGAAAGTGTCCTTGGAGGTGTTGTGTGGGTGTGGGCATTCATCTGGGAGAACACCTCCTTTTCTCCCAGAGCCAAAGGATCAGGCTGAGGAGCTGAAGAAGGGTCATACTCCATCATTGGAGATGGTGAAGCAGGTCTGACAACACCAGCACCAGTTCCCTCCTGCTCCTCCAAAAACCTGTCCATATAGTCAGTATGGCCAGGGTGCAATGTGTACTTCTTTTTCTCCAACCGTGCTTTATTTGCAAAGATATCATGTCTTTCTGTTTTTTTCCAAATGTAATAGAACTGTACTAGTTCTCCAACTGATCTTGTTCGGACTTTATGCTGTCGAATTAAGTGAAAATCCTTTCCATGAGCTTTAATACCATTTTCAAAATTGCGACATTCTTCTTCAGACCATAGACTTGCATGAGCTGGTGTTTGTGCTGATATGCGACGCCGTCTTAAAGCCTCCTCTACATTATGCCCACATTGTTGAAGTAAGAATAAAGCTTCCTCATCGTCCCTAAGATGCTTCCCTATAGGAATTGCATCCATTCCTGTACCTGAATTCATAGCACATATCTTTTTCATATAATCTTCAATGACATTTTCATCCAGAACACTAGGATTCCATAACAGTTTATCCTCATTTTCATAAGGCAAAGCATCGTCATAGCTGCATAGACCTTCAGGTATACCAGCTTGGTAGTCACTACCAACCATAATAGTCTTTTTCCAATCATCTTCATCAGGGCTGTAATCATAGTCATCTTCTTCTTCAGAGGGGGGCCGTGACCCTGACCTAAGACAGCGAGGGGCTTCTGGACTCGTGTTATCAGTATACAACTGTTGCAGTGCTGACTCCGGTTTCTCATTTTCCTCTGGCACAACTTCAGGGGCTGGTTCAGGGACTGGTTTATCCATATTTCTATCGTATCCGTAGAGCGCAAGTAGTTCCTCCAAGGGCATATCACCCTCGCGCTGCAAACTGTTGAGTTCCGCCTTGGGGTCTTGTTGCTCGCCTGCCGCTAGTGCTTCTTCTTCGTCCAATGTTCGTTCGTCGTCGAAGTCATTGACCATCATATCAACAGTCGGCTCGAAGAGAGACTTGTCGTTCCCCACGTCCATGCTCGCATCGTGTTCGCTTACATTGGCTACCAGCGCGCAATCTGACATGACTGGGGACCACTTCGGATTATGAACAAACTACCACCAAAGCATCATGAGGATCCCACTCAACTGGTATTATTGCCGATAGTACATCATTATAATAGACAGAAAACATCACAATTAATACATATTATGCAAAATTCAAAGGAAAATACGCTGAACAAAACAAAAATATTTTGACACGACTCCAGCCACCACAAATGGCTGTCACAATCTGTAGATTCGGATACACGAAAACGATATCATGTTCACAGCATATCACAGTGTAAAAATTGCATATTTACATTATAGCAAAATAAGACAAAGTGATAGTAAAGTCAATAAGTTTGATGTATAAATTCAAAAGCCGTAAAGAAACCAAAATTATAATTAAATTATTTTACCTACTTTCTTCCCCTATTCTTCGAACCTTTTTAGAGTGTATCTGAATAAATTACATTAGGGAAAAATGGGCGGTGTTCCCAATGTGCTTTTTTTGCACTGTAACTTCCACTATAAATACATAGAAAAAAGTAACTATCGTACAATTCTGGCCTCATTGTCTTCTTATAAATAGAGAAAATAGTACACGAAAATCTATTTGGACGCCGCATGCAGCACGTCATTCTTTTCTTTCATCGGTTTCCTTCCTCCTTCACTGATTATTTGCAAAACCATAAAATATGTCAAGTGGTGAAATGTAAATAGTTTTGTAAAACTGTAAAATTGCCTTTATATTATAATAACAACGACGTTAGAGAATGATTTGGCTTACTCGAGATAATTTAGAGTTCTTCTAACCAAGTAATAACATTTACAATGTTTCATAGCGTATTTATTTTAGTTTTAACTGTTGTGAAATTGACGCACAGCTTTTCCGATGTAGGAAAATGGGAATTACCGCTAAGCGGGGTGAGTAACACTGTTCATTTATTAATCCCCATGTTATTTAGAGTATATTTGTCTATTTCTCGTAAATATTCGTTCTATTTCTCATAAATATTCGTTATTATACACTACACAGCAAATGTAGCTACGCATTCACATATAGTACATATTTTTACAGTAAAAATCTTTTTAATTTATCGTGTCGGTAGTTAGAATGGTATAATGTAACAGTTGTTAACAGTACAGCATTGTTTATCGACATTTTTCCTTGTGGGTTTATGTACACTCAGCAACACATCACAAACTCACTTTTAAATTGCTTACCAGAAGGCTATTTGTATTAATGATGTACACACGCCTGCACATCAAGCTACACATTGATTTGTATATGTGATTGTATCTTGTTTCATTGCAATGGAGGCGATTTTGAACAAAAATGTGTAGTCTGATGTGCTGTTGTCCGTACATTATGGTTATTTATTTTGACAATTTGTGAATCTAGATCCAATCTATCATACGAAGTTTTTAGTATGTTTAGGTACCACCTAGTTGAATCATAGTGCTTGTATACATATAAATTGCAGTAAACTTTTGATTTTATTGATAATACTTTTCCTGTTTCGTTTCCAGGAAAACTGCGAGTTTACACTAGCCAAATCACTATTCAAAGACTCCAAAGTCATAGCAATATGTGAGTATAATAATTTGATCTGTTAGTTAGGGAGAACTCAACGTCCTAAAACCTGTGCCATAAGATGTGTAGTAGAATCAAAACATATACACAATAAATTTATGGTAACTTGAGTCTACAAACACATTATTATAGTTAAATGCAATACTGAATACATATTTGTGATAATGACTGTTCGCTAGTGATAGCATAGTCATGTCCATTATTAGCTTATGATTAAATTTGTGATGTTGGTCAAGCTTATAATAGTAATGTTAGTGTTTTGGCATTCTCATCTTTCAGTCAGTTAGTGTTTGTGGGGAATGTAGTAAACATAGCAAGCAAGTAAATGAATAGTGTTTTTTGTTATGTATGTTATGTAAATTATATACAATTTAAATAGAGAATAGATTTCACGGACCTTATGTGTGCGGTAGGTGTTTTTGATTATATTGACAGCCATGACGCGAGCACGGCTGAAAAAATTTAAAATCTAAGAGTGTATATAAATCGTCTTTATGAGTAAGCGAAAAGGTGGGGATTTTTGTAGTAGAAAATTACCTACAAGTTATTGAGCCCGTATAATTTTTCTAATTATGTGTATAAGTAACTAAACGAGAAATCTTAATCTTAATTACGATTTCTCCTATCAGTGCAAAAGTGGTGTAACACCATGAAAAGCATTTAGATAAGAAATGAAGATATTGAGGGATTTAAAATTAGCCAAATTTTTTTTATATACATCCAAAGAGTCTGGTGATCAAGGTTTTTTAAATATTTGTTTCATCAACCCATTTTTACGTCCCACTGATGCGCTCGGGTCTCCTTTCTGGCTGTTTTCCGAGGATTGTGAACCTTTTCATGCAGGTTTCATCACGATGTTTTCTTCACTGCAAAGGTCCTAAGGTAAATTTCAAATTCAATTTCGCACATAAATACCCAAAAACTCAGGGGTGCTAGGCCGGATTCGAACCCACGGGCCCTGCTTGCGTGGCGGTACCTTTAGGCTAAAAAATATTTGATAAAATTTATTTAATTATTTATGTTTATTTTTTTAATGATGAAATTGACTAAAACACGATTGGTGTTGATAAATAAAAAAATACAAAAATTATTTTTTGTAATTGGCTAAAACCCGTTTGATGCCTGGATAGACACTTTTGATGTGTGTAGTAATCATTATAATATGACCGATGTATATATTTTTGAAACATGAAGATAGCATTCAAACGTACATAATAATTATGTACTTTAGTATTATCTAAAGCAATATAATAGAAAAAAAATCTTCGTTACACCACTTTTCCGCTCATACCCTCAAATATTAGTTTCTAGGTTGTGTCTACAAAATTCAATGAGTTTGATTAATTTGATTGGTGCATACGTGTGTATCACGTGGTCACAAAGTATATAATCCCCCGTTCCATGAGTGCCAGATCACAATCAATTTTGAATAGGTCGTTACCAATCGACCGATTGATCCTTCTAGCAATCGGAGTTGAGACCTTCCTCATTTCGCGCAAGTATGTTTACCACTGGGTCACTGAGCCCGTATACTACCACCCCAGAAGAAAAAAACAATGGAAGTGCCTAAAGACTCGATTACTATCAGGGGGGCTACTCTCGATCTCCGTCCAACATCCGTCCGAAACAATTACTGTCAAATAAGTAATATTCGACAAAATTAAAAAACAATTCGTATAACGCGTCTTTTCATTTGGTCAAGTATTGCTTATTTGGCAGTAATTGTTTCGGACCGATGTCGGACGGAGATCGAGAGTAGACCCCCAGAACCGCGACAGCGCAATGAAATCTTGATAATGATTGATTGGTCATAGTTTTATTTTAAAAAGAAATAACGGATTCTCGGCTGTTAGCATGTCGTATCTGTTGGCATATTGTGGAAAGTTCAATACCTATTATTGCAAGTTACAACGTTGTAATTTTATATTGAAATTTCAATCAATGTGCTGCCATCTAGCGGGCAATAGCTCAAGGACCACGAATTCGAGACGCTTTTATAGGTCTCCAAAAAAGAAGCGACCGTATTGCAGCGGAGTAAGGTTTACGTTTCGTTTCGTTTTGTAGAAAATTGGAAATTTGTTAAAATTAAATAAAAATAAAACTTGACGATGATAATGAAAGATACAAGTGCGACTATCATTATTGCACAAGTAGCAAAATGAGGCAATTTTTCTATGATTTTCGAGCTTATGCGTGAGATAATTGATGTGGTCTGTGGATAATTGACACAACCATAACGTATGTACACTGTACAGTCAAGAGCACGTTAAGCTTGACACTTTGTCCTTTGGACCGTTCTTATCGTAAGCGGCAAAGAGTGGGATTTAAATCTTAAGTGTCAAGCATGACGTGCTCTTGACCCTGTACATACGAAACGATAATGGCGAACTGCGCTTAAGTATGTGGAACTTCACGTAGGTACCATTGACATACGTGATACGCAACCAAAGCACTTCTACTGTATTTATGGTTATGTGATTATCACCATAATTGCCACGTAATTGTACGTTTGTTTTCAGTGCACTGTGATGTAACAGTACCAACGAACTTGACGATTATCTATCAATGGGAGAACAAACAATGTTCACCTGATTACTTCCATTATTTTGAAAAGGTAAGGAAATAAAAATAACGTTTAATGCCCACATCTGCCTTTAATCTTCCACTGGACCTAGACACTGCTGAGCCACTGTATGCGCGCGCTACGCAAATATAAATGTCACAGTCGTATTGTATAAAGCTCCGTATTACATTACGGCTAGTCGGTTTGCAGAAGCGAATATATTTGCGTTTCCGAACATGTTTTCAGGTCAAATCATACCTTTTAAACAAACTAGAGCGTCTACAGAACCTGGCTATCAGATTTATTTTCGGTCTCCGAAAATTTGATCACGTTTCCGAATTTCGTGCTCGGTTAAAATGGCTCCCAATCCGCCTTCGCCGTGTTGTGCATATCCTGTCCACCCTTTTTAATATACTTCATGACCCAAATTCCCCTTCCTACCTACGTTCCCGGTTCCAACTGCTTCCCCCTCCTAGCCGCTCAAGGCGTCCGTGCATCACTAAGATGCTCGTTCGTCCTAGTTGTAAAACAAATTTCTTTTACAACTCCTTTTCCTCTCGTGCAGCGCAGCTGTGGAACAGACTCCCTTCCCATATTCAGTCTAGTCCGTCAATTGCTTCCTTCAAGAAAAGGTTGACAGCGCACTTTCTTGCTGAACTCTCTTAATAATCATCATATTTGTATATGTGTAAGTTTATTGATACAATGTATTATACGTTATGTAGTCTATTTATTTATATACTATTTTAATTATTTAATGGTAATTTTATATATGCATATTTTATACATGTAGATTATCATCTTTTGTTATCTCTTTTGCACGCCGTTCCCCGCTTAAAACCTTTGCTCTCACTGCCTTGGGTTGGCTGGAAGAGATCTCTTTTAGAGATAAGTCCACCTTTGCTCACCTTATGTTATTTTTTTTTGTTTCTGTTTATTTGTTTGGTGCAATAAAGAATATTATACAATCATGTTATAATTAATATTCCTTGCCTGGTAAGCATTACACTGTAAGCAGCGCCATTTTTGTAATTTTACAAGGGAAGCGATTTTGTGTCGAAAAGCAGTTTGTACGCCAATTAGGGTAGCTCGAAATGTTATTATAGTCTGCTCCAATCCATTTTGAACAAAAAGTAAACAAACCTGTTTGGTTAAAGTTCTAAAGCAATCACTCAATACGACATACACACAGCGATACGATCGTAAATTGTAAATGCTTACCGGTCGCAATCAAAATCAATGTCTTCAAAATTACAAATGTCAAATACCATTACCACACGAAACAATCGATGTCGAAGCGATGCTATTGACGAATATCGATCGATAAAATGACCGTGCGGATGTCCAACGATGATGCATTTAGTAATTCATACTGTGGGATCTCCAGTTTTAGAATGTGTATAGAAGAGTTTATTTCGATAGTTCCATCATTGAATGACAAATGAAGCAGATCGATCGAGAGCACATCCCATTCTACAACCGATCAACTATAGATTGGTTGGTTTGCTAACAGCCGCAGCCTAAGAGAACTGTTCTGTCTTATCATTGCCGATAAAATACAGAACTTAAACTTGTATCAATTCGTAATGTACTGACCCTAGCAGAGCTATTCAAGCAATTTTTACTTGAATTGAACTTGAATTGAATTGAACTTCCGCCTATTCGTATAGGTTTCAATTTGTCTCGAACTGAGCAGAATTTTATTTTTTATGAAAACTTTAGGTTTTGTTCGAGCTGAGTGGACAGACTTGAAAACCGGCTTCACGGTCGCATTAAAACTTACAATAGAACACAGACATTGGAGATAGTGCTGCCTTTTTTATTTAGCCCTATTTTTTATTAATTATCTACCAAAGCGTAACCGAGATGAGCTTTGTTTCAGTTACTTATATTATTATAGTATTTCTTTACTTTAACTAAGTTGCGGAACACTTACGCGACTTCGCTTTTATAGACAATGGACCTTTCTCGGGTGTTGGTGTAGCTTACTAACTCAAATACAGTACAGTGTTAATAAACAAAATGAGCTAATCAAGTAATTTTTTAATTTTTTTTAGCGAATAGTAGAATGTAAGAGCGGCCTGGTTGACAAGGCGACTATCACCAAATTTCATACATGCAATGATAAGAATTCAATTGTATTGCACGAAGACAATGAAAATAATAAAACACCGGCGGACAAGACGCCTGAGGACACACAGAAAAAGAATTCTGTAACACAGCCTGTTTCTGTGAGTATTATGGATATTGCATTCAGTTTTCAACGTTTTCGTAGCCGTAGGGCTCCACGTGAAAGAGTCCATCCAGGGAAGCACTGCCACCTTACCTTAATCTTGTCGCAAAGCATTAATATGAGTAGAGTTCTTAGGTCATATCAGTCCATCTATCTGTACCCTACCCTTGTAGTTTTCACCGTTTTATAGCAATTTAAATAAAACTATTTATTTTAAAGTGAAATTGAATAAAATTTCTTAAATCTCTCTTTTAAATTTCTATATTTTTCACTAAAACGTCGATACTAATTTATCTTTACAGAAAACACCGCCTCTAATTACAATAGACAAAGAAGGCGTATACCTGCTCAGGATACAAGTGCGGGGATTCTCAGAGTACAACGCGACCATGCAAATCGAGATGGTGGGGCCGTCTGGCACGTACTTATCGGCCGCAATTTGGCCACTTTTGCCGGTAAGTGTATTTGCTTTCTCTAAGGACACCCGTGAATAAAAATGTCAACCGACTTTGTAATCTCTTTTTCCTCCTCTTAAATACTTTTACATCTAGTTCAGTCAAGATCACACGAAGCTTAACTGGATTGTTTTTATAAAAAACGAAATAGAGTTGAATTTAAATCTTGTGTCAAATTTGAGTTGTTCATGACCTTCTACTGTTTAAACAGCCAGTAGTTTCAGGCCGGTATATTTGAATAAGATAATAATATATTTATTACTTCCCTGCGGAGGTGACCTTAAGTAGTTTTTTATTATTTTAGTAGCAGTAGAACTCCTTGTCAAAGTTCGTTCGGGGAAGTACTTTACCTTGTACCTTCTTAGTATGTCGCTTCTCTACGAAGGTTGGCGACCATCATGGCTTTTCTCATTTTTGAAGCTGCCGCACTAAAGAGGGAACGTGTGCTAAGGTGGAACCAGTCTCTCAGATTCTTCAACCACGAGGTTTTGCTTCTGTCACGACTACGCTTTCCTTGTATTTTTCCTTGCATCATTAATTGAAGAATTCAGTATGTATTGCCCCTCATTACGTGGCCAAAATACTGCAGCTTCCTTTCCTTTACAATTCTGAGTATTTCCAACCTTTTTTCTCATTGAAGAAGTTCAACATTAGTGACCTTTTGTACCCACGACATATCGAGCATATGTAAGCACTACCAACTTGCCTATTTCTGCCGTCAATAATAATGTGAGCATTACTGCGTTCCGTCTTCGAAGGGTAAGCGCGATTGCGCACTGCATCCGATATTCGTATTCGTTCCGAATCCGGGACTTTACAAATTTAGAAAATTCGGACCCACTTCGGATGTCGTTTGTGCACTAAGTCCGAATCCGTGAAAATGCGAATATCGCTTGTACACCTAGAGATAAAATGATCCCTGTGACATTTCGGGCCGTCATTTCTCGGATTCGGAAATGATACGAATCGGACGTTGTGCACAAACGCTCTAAGAGCAGATGAAATTATAGGCACATAGAACTTGTCAACTTACTGTCTCAGATCTTTGCGATTTAAAGCTCTGAGAGTACTGCAACTGTCATGGGTTGGCGTGGAAGAGCCATAGCTCTATGCTCAATCTTTGTGTCCTAATGTGTAATTTACCTTTTTTTTCGAAACTACGAAACTTTATCGAAATAAAACAAACATGTATATATTATAATCTCGGCTTAAAGTTCAACATTAACGAAAACAATTTAATATGGTCCTAAAATGTTTCAGTTTTTCGGCGTAATGTGCGGAATATACACAGTATTATGTGCGGGATGGCTGCTCGTCTGCGGGCTGCAGTGGCGCGACCTACTGCGGATACAGTACTGGATCGGTGGAGTAGCGCTACTTGGCATGATAGAGAGCGCTACCTACTATGCTGTCTACTCCTCTATTAATAATACTGGGTAAGTGGTCAAGTAAATTAATATTTAAAGCTATGAATTGATATATACTACTAAAGTTAAGGTGAACAATACTTTTACGGGGAACTTTATACGTTTTTACAATAAGATTTGTGAGCATATAATATTAAAAATGTCATTTCCTAAGTATAAAACTTACATTAAAAGTATTTTAATTAAAAAGTCATATTGCAAAATTGAAAACTGTGTTAGATAAAGATGTATGGAAAGACAATATGAGTCTGGATTCCACACAAATATGATGTGTATTCCATAGCATTTAAGTTTATTTGTAAAGGGTAATCCCCAGAGTTTCTTGCTCATTCTTCTCAGGGAAATCAGCATAGTGAACGAGCAGTAGCTTAAAATAATCACTTTTCAAGTGTAAAAATTTTACTTATGGAATAAATGATTGTTTGACTTTGACTGCAAAAAATATTCAGATTGGGTTTAAACCCAAATAAGTCGTGATGTACCTAAAATAACACAGAAATTTTAGTAGGTACACAGTGTTAATGAGAGACGTTAGGTATATACACAAACAAATACCAAATTTGCTTCACTGATTCATTAGTGATTGTGATGAAAATTTCTTAATTATTTTACGTTTTTTCGTGTTTACTTTATTAAACAGAGTTTAAGTTATTGAAAATGACTTAACCGTGAAAGGAGATGCCTCCTTTTCACCGACTAACACTCAGACTTTTATTTAGGCACTTAGAAACAGCATAATATGACAAACGTAAGTAAGCAAGAATCGACGCGGCCTGAAAATCTTGATCGTATGTCAAGATTGTGGCACACTTGCCCCGCCGACATCGCCGTTCTATCTAGGTTTATTTCTGTGTAAAATAAAATGTTTAATTGCAATACTTTAACAAGGTTATGGCAGAATAACAGAGGCTGAGTCATAAACCGTTTTGTCTTGCTAATTAGCACCGTGTTCGCGTTTATTATAAAATGTATCACTGTATTCATGACGAATGGGTTTATTATTATTAAATGAATTTAGTTCATTCGAGGTACAAATTCATTCGTAATAAAAACAATTTTGTTATTTTTATTGTAACTGCAGTATATAAGGGTGAATATTACACATAGGTATGTGATGGTGCCCAACTAATGCTTCATTGTCCGTCCCATACCTTTTATATAGTTAAAGAACAAATGTATTCGACAATACCATGGAAATCAAGATTTACCTGTACTTATTTATCGCTGTTTGAACCTGTTTCCTAGATTTTTGGATATGTAACAAAAATTGTACAGATGTTAAATTGTAGTTACACAGGGTATTAAAGTTGATAATATATAAGTCGAGTCAGAAACTTAAAATGCATGCCTAGAACTACACGAAGATCGATGCGATAGTTTTAGGATCCCGGAGGAATGTGAAATTAACAGAATAATAATTCTAGTTGCATGTATTAAGTAAGATTTTTTAAATATTCCGAAAATTTTCATGGTTGCTATAACTAATCGCAAAGTTTAGATAAATATAGTCTTACCGTAGGTACCCCAAATAACATAACGTTTTTTTAATGTAGGTATTTAATGTATTGCCGAATCCGGGATAAAAATGCTTTCGTAAGGTAGTCTTCACTTTCTGTCTCTATTCCTCGAAGTTTAGGCAAGTATGCTCGACATATTCCGATCACTGATTATAAGTTTACAATTGCTAAATAACATACTGTATTGACACAACTTCATGGTGTCGCCGTTCATCCTTGGGTAGCGCCGAGGTTCGTGGGGGGATTCCACAACACAAGATCTCAAAAACCCTTTTTAGAGAACTCTTCCATTAGTTGACGCGTTTGTGTGTTTAACTAGCTAACGATGTATTTGTATAGCAAATTGCACAGCACCTCTGGTGGTGACAAGAAGAAGAACAATTTATCATAAACATGTTTCTTATAGTAGGCATGTTGTGGCGACAGACGAATTTTTCCTTGTTTGTTCGATCTTTGTAATAATAGGCTAACTAGAGGAGTTTTTTCATGTAAAATAGATTACTATCATGGTAGTGAAATAGTCAATGGTATTAAAAAAATGTTTTATGAATTAAATTGCATAGAATTTTATTCATCAAACACACACACACACATTATACTATTTTAGGAAATCACATGATAATGTACTAATTAAATATGAGCTACTTTGATTTCTATTATTCTAAACTGACTCTGTGGCCGAACAGTTACCATGCTGGAGTACCACGCAGAGGCCCCGGGTCCGATTCCCGGGCCATGAGAAATATTTGTATGACCTACATTTATTTCACGTGAGTTTGGGTGTAATTTGTGGTTGTCTATCTATGTTCCATGGCACCCGCCATACAGGGTTTCCCTATGGCGGGGCTATTATTCATGATAATAATATGTTTCTAGTGTATACATATATAGCAATTGATTTATAGTAGAAATACATGTAACTGGCGCTAAACGGCTCTTTAGTGGTCAACATGAAAATGTCGTATTATATAACGGCCCCTGAAAAGGTGGTCAACGACTTCGTCAAGGTCGTTCCTTGCCGCTGAATGCTAACACCCCGAGACTGCGTTGATGCTATCATATTTTTTCAGGGTCTTCAATGCCTCTGCTTATATGTTTGCGGAGTGGATGTCTGTAGCCAAACGCGCTTTGGCTAGAATGCTAGTCATCATTGTCTCCCTTGGCTTCGGTATTGTCAAGTGAGTAAATTCATTAATTAATATTTTTTAACACATACCTACATTGTTAACACTTAATTTTAAGAACTTTTTATATTAAAAAACCAACCTCGAAAATTCGTGGAATTACATTATTTGCCAAGTTAAATTAATATCGGTTACCCAAAAGGGCGCGAAACCATATTCATTCCTTAGTTTGCCACTCTTATGTCCACTTGCACTAAACTTAAGTATGTCTTAAACCAATGCTTAAATTGATAAGACACTCTTAACACAATGTATTAAGAGTGTTTTTTGCATTGCAATTATCGGTTTAAGACGTACCTAGGTTTAGTGCAAGTGGACATTAGAGGTGGAATATCGTCGTCTTACTTTGTTAGACTCGTATCTTAAGGCACAAAGTTACTGAAATGCAAAAAAATGGATTGGACATACAAACTTTGCAGGCTGATTTTTCACATCTCATTTCCTTCATATTCACACACTGGCTTTTACCTATTCTTTACGTAATGCATCCAAATTTACAACCTTGATAAGAAATTTAAAATAAATGGAAAGTTTATCAATCTCCTGAATAATTAATTACTCTTTTTAAGATACGAGTTTGAGAAAGTAAGACATCGACATTTTCTTCAAATTTAAATGGGACCAATACTGAGATACCCTATTTCCAACAAAAAAATCATCAAAATCGGATCACAAATACGGAGTAATGGCGTAACATGCATACACAAAAATGCAGTCGAATTGAGAACCTCCTCCTTTTTTGAAGTCGATTAAAAAAAGTTAATTATCTTATTAAACTTAAGGCACTGCGCAGAAGGAATTTTAGTTGACTCTACTGTCAACTTTTTACAAGTTTCCGTCTACGGTTACCGCGATTTTAAAATAAATACTTTCGAAATGCATAGTCAATAGCAAGAGCAAGACTTAGGGTCGTATTCCAGAACTCTACTCAATGCTCGAGTCGGGACTTGAGTATGATTTAAAGCACTGAAAATCATACTCAAGTCCTTGCCATTAGGGTCGTGTTTCCAGTGCTTGAAATCATACTCTAGTCTGCTCAAGTCCTGACTTGAGCATTGAGTAGAGTTCTGGAATACGACCCTGAGCCTGCGGGGGATGGGGAGGGAGTGTAGTCGCTCAACGCGTTGCTGTTGCCTGTTGAGGAATTGACAACTTGAACCTGTACAAACTTGCAAGTTTATAGTTGTGGCAATTAATTGTTTATTTAATCACAAACACTTTTGTACTGACCTGAACTGAAGTTATACTATGGAAAACATCATAAACAGGTAGCTGCTGCATAGACGGTAGTTTTAGTAGCTCCTTGTGAAAAAGTTCGTCTAGGGAAGTACTGCCTTACATATTTCTGCTGCCAAGCAGTAATGTGAACATTACTGCGTTCCGGTTTAGTAGGGCAAGTGTGCTGGCGAAATTACAGGCACATGGGACTTGTCAACTTATGTCTCAGGGTGACGGGCGCAGTGCCCATAAGATCTTTGCGATTTAAAGCTCTGAATGGTACTACAACTGTTTTTTTACAATTACTACTGCACTACAATTGTAGTATCTATCTATCAATTGATAGGCGTGTCACTTACCGCTTACCGTGTCGCGACTTGTTCATGTCGCCACTTGGTAAGATTAAAAAAAAATCTACAGGTTGCCAGTTACCTAAACTCGAGGATCGAAATTGCTCCATCTGTGCAGCAAGCAAAGTTTTTAGAAAACAGTTTGTGGTTACGACTGGAAATTAAATCTTAAGAACTCTCGTGTAACGTTGAGATTACTATACGCGTTGTACTCAGACAACTTTTTTCCTGTTATGAGAACTTTGCTCCACAAGTGTGTCTACCGTGTTTTATTATAGAATATGCGTGTCACGCATTCTAATCCAACTTCAATAGACTTAATAGGCTGGCTCAGCAACCCGAAATGTGTCCCGGCCTCCGAAACGAGATGATGCCACTTACGTCAGTCCTGTGCAATCTCTCGCCAATTGATGGCTTGTAATTCGCGCAGGTCCACCTCCACGGCGTCGCTCCAGCTATACCTGAGACGACCAACCGGCCATCGTCCAGTTGGTCGACCCAGATAGGCTCTCTTCACGTTCCGGCACTTTGCTTCATCATCCATCCTTTCTGAATGGTCGAGCCAACAAAGGCTGTGCGCTTTGGTTTCGGCGATGATGCTGGGCGACGAGCTCTTCTATTTCAACGTTAGTGCGGACTCTCCAGCTACCGTTCTCCCGTTGGACTGGCGCTAATATTTTCCTGAGAACCTTTCTCTCAGCCACCAGGAGTTTGTTCTCTTCTTTAAGTGTGAGTGTCCAAGCCTCACAACCGTGCGTGACAATGGGCCTTATGACGGTCTTGTAGATCCGAATTTTGGTTTAACGGCTCAGTAGATTGGACACCAACACTTTGTGTAGAGCTGCACTACATCGTAGGGTGTTCTGTATGCGGATGTCTCTATCCTCTTCCCTAGAGTTGGTATCTGTTATAGTGCAGCCTAGGTACTTTAACTTGGCCACACCATTGTAGACGGCATCTCCAACATAAAGGTCTTCACGAGCTTATCTAATCTCTCATCCCTAAGAGCTCATCTAGCTAATCATAAGGCCTACTTTTTTTTTGCTTCGGATTCCAGGGTGTCTGCAGATTGAATCACATCACTCCTTACTTCTTCAATAGAAACAATTGAAAATATGTTGCAACGATGAACTAAAAAATCTGTAATGCTTTTAACATAAGGCTTATAAGTTACAATACGTCAGTAACATTTTTTTTATGATACTCAGTAACGGGACAAACAAGTCGGGCGCCTGGTGGTAAGCGACACGCCTGTATAGATTTTTAAGACTTTCGTGGTTATTCACTAAATGATTATCACTAGTATCAGGTTTCTTACCACGGTATGACTTCTTTTTATTTAGCGACACGCCTATTCACAACACTTGCAGTGCCACTCAGACCTTTAAATCGCAAAAATATGAGAAGCACTTGAGACATAAGTTAAAAAGTCCCATGTGCCTGTAATTTCATAACCCTTACACTTCAAAATCGGAACGCAATAATGCTCACATTAATGTGTGGCGGCAGAAATAGATAAGGTGGCAGTACTTCGCCAGACAAACTCTTTCACAAGGAGCTCTACTATTAAACAATAATAATAATCTTTATCAATTATCGAGTTCTAGGTTTTCGCGAGTTTTCTACTCGCACTAATATTACAATAGTGGTGTAACTCAAAATGTGTGTATTTCAGGATTAAATCATTGCTGAAACCAAAATTTGACTCTCTACACGTCAATAAAATCGTCGATAGAATATTGTAAGAACCAATTAAAAGATTTAATCAAAATGAGAAAAACTTTATGTGAGCTAGTTCTGGCCAAATATAGGCCTTGCTCAAAATTATGAAATTATTTCTTCCCTTTTATTTTTAAAGAATTGGGCTAGTAGGAAATGTTTAGATGTCAGTAATAAACTTTACCCTATACATAAATTTTAATGATCTTTCACGGGAAGTGAGTATTCGTTTTTCATCGATTATGAAAAAATACACTTTTTGAGTTAATACACTATTGTATTAACGGAAGTGAAACTCTTTTTCGGATTTAAATCGCATAGTGCAAGGCCGCGTAAGTAGCATTGGTAAAAGGCGCGTATCTGCACTAAACCAAATATTACAGAGGGATTTTAGCGTTATTAGTATTATCACTTTGTTATTTCAATGACTACGATTTTCATTTTTACACAGTAAGCATTAATTTGTGTTGTCTACGGACTCATAACAATGGATTCCCATAAATCACGATAATTTGTTAGCCATGACATTTACGCGGATTTGAAATCTAAACTCAGCATAACCCAATGCTATTTACGCGTAATTGCATTGTCTCCGACGATATACTTTTTTTTTTTCAAATGAACCAACTTTTCGGGCCGTTTACAGGTCCCATGGAATCAGCCGTGACATTCGAGGCTGTTAATGGCGCGAAACGTTTATTTGTTTTTGAAAAAGGAATATACGCGAATTACGTCCGAAAAAATAGCTTAATTTCTTTTATGAATTGTTTAATAAAGATTATTATTACTGATGATGATTAATTCTTTAACATTACAAATCCAAACAGTCACATGTATTTACGTTCTAATATGTTTCAGACCACGTTTAGGTCCTGCTCTCCAACGGGTAGTAGGCACAGGCCTGCTGTGGGGCCTTCTTGCCGCAATCGAGGCGTGGTTAAGACTTCACCACAAAGCCGAAGGCTCAAATAGAGATCTCTTGTTGTCAGAGGCGCCATTGTCGTTACTCGACAGCGCCATTTGTTGGTGGGTGTTTGTATCACTCGCACAAACTATGAGAACGTTGCAGTTGAGGAGGTAAGTCGAAGTCAATTCAAAAGATATTATTTTTGTTCTAGCGTTAAACTAGATGTAAAGGGACATACAGAATGTTGGTCAGAAACAGATAGCGGGGGAGGGTAGTGGTATCAAATGTTGGGCCTAAATTCGACGATTTCGAAACATTTGTTCGCAGTCATGTTAAAATATTACAACGGATCTCGTTAAAACCTGAATCTAAGAAGATTGATGGTTCGGATCGTCGAATGGGTCTCCATTCCGCCGTCAAGCCGTCTGGCTTCGATGCCATGGAAGTCCACGTGTAGGTATACTTACACATCTGTCGCGCCCGTCGCTTCTCGAGATTCGCAATTACGAAAATGTTTCTTTTGTCAAGGTCATCATGATCAACTTTATAAATGTTCAGGGTACCGGGGGATCGAAGCTGCCATTCTGTGTGCGAGCGTTTTATAAAACCAACGATTCTTACATTTTTGTACTTACAGGGTCAGCGCAAACCGAAGCGGACGGCAAGGCAGAGGCTATTACATTAATCGATGCATATTTTATGCTATTACAATTGAAATAAAGTATACGTTTCAATGCTCTGAGACGCAAACAGAAATGCGCCGCGATGCTGCGAGGTCGGTCTCAAGAACATTGCAATGTATACCTAATTTCAATTGATATAGCATAATAAATACATTGACAAATTTGATGTCCTCTGTTTCCCATTCGCCGGTTTGAGCTGCCCCTTAGGGCGCATTTTTATTTTGCAACGTTAACCAAGTGCTTATTTAAGCAAGCATTCCAGATTTAACACCTGCTATGTGGCTATTTGTTTTCAACTCATTACCTCCCTATTTGAATGTTTTAAAGCAAAGAATCATTCACGAATTGAAAGCTATTCCATGCGACGTTATTATTATTATTTATATAGGCTTGGGGTAAAGTCAGTTTCGATGTATGTTATCTGTTAATATTGATCAATAATCTCAGTGCAGAGTACTAAAAAACCAACCTAAAAAGTACGTGGAATTGCATCTATTTGCCAAGTTTTATTGGAATCGGTTACCGGAAAGTGCGCAAAACCGGATTCATCCCCGTTAGCCACCCTGAATATTTTCTTGAAATTTAAATGAGAGCAATACTGAGGTACCCTCTTTCCAATAATAAAAAAAATCATCAAAACCGGTTCTCAAATCCGTTCCGGAGTAACACACATACAAAAAAAAACATAGTCGAATTGAGAACCTCCTCCTTTTTTTTGGAGTCGTTTAAAAAAAAATGAATGGAAATGAACGAATGAAGAAATGAAATTAAATATAGGAAATGAAACTATTTTTCGAAACTATTTTTCCGGATTTAAATCGCGTATATTTGTTTTTTCAAACAAACCGACGTTTCGGGCCCTTTACAGGTCCCATGGTCCCGAGCAAGGACCCGAAACGTTGGTTTGTTTGAAAAAACAGATATACGCGATTTATATCCGGAAAAATAGTTTCATTTCCTATGTGTAACAATCACGAAAACCTAAGAACTCGATATGAAATTAAATAATTCTAATATTTTATTTTTAAATATCATAAACAAAAAAACATTCTGAGACACCCTTTTAACGCAGATAAGCAATTTTCCAGATTTAAATTTGCGACAGAGGTTTGTCAAACAAATCCTATTGGTAGTTGAAACAAATCTGTTTCTTCTCATTTCCAATTCGGTGCGAAACTCCGAGGTCTTCCCAAACCGACTTTAATGTTTTACGTTTACCATTTTAAAATGATACATCACGTCAAACGTAGGAATACATGTAGGAGGTTAGATTATTGCTATGCCCTCTGGTACTTGCCACTTTGGAGGGTAAAATTTTGCAACGAGTAGTATACAATGCGATACAATACAAAAGTTCCTTTTTGTATACCAAATTTTAAACAAAAATACGATACAATTAAAAAATAAAAAATAAACGGCAGTACAATGGGCGGTCTTATCACTTTAAGTGATCTCTGCCAGACAACCTTTGGATGGAAGTAATTATATAACTCAAAGGTGGCGGTCTATTCGGCCTCGGACCGAATATTGAGGCAGATAACGCACATACGAAAATTGGCACGTAAATTACTTAATAGTTTCAGTTTTCATAAATAATTTTGTACGTTAAACAACAAAAGGTAATTTAATTTTCAAGTTTTTTTTCCTCCTTATTTTATGTAATGGGCCGAATAGAGATTTTTTATGTTTGGCCGAATAAGCTGAATACTAAATAGTAACCGAATGTCCTTTGCAACTGTAATAATAAGCATCATCGTAGAAAGTTTTTTTTTATTTTTAAGAGATAACAAACAATTGTACATGGTTTGATTACATTCCTTCTGAAATTAACTGACACGTACAATCAACAACATTATCCACATATTACAAAAGTTATAGAAACTTAATTTTTGTTCACAGAAATACAATCAAGCTGTCACTATATCGCCATTTTACAAACACGCTGATATTCGCAGTAATATCATCTGTGATATTCATGCTCTACTCCATCAAGTCTTATCGCGTCCTGCCATGCATCACTGTAAGTACATACTCGTATTCTAGATCAATGGTTTGTGTCACTACGTAACTGATTCAAGTAAATAAACCAGCGCATACGAGGGAATATAGTTAAATTATCTCTTTTTTTTTAAAGAGATTTAACAGCTTTGGCAGAAAGCCATACAGCCTATTCATTATCTCAATATATGAAATAAATACAAAATTAACCCACGTTTATCGCACAAAGAGAAAAATTATTTTTTGGACAGTATTGAATAATATTGAGTTCTTAGGTTTTCGCGATTGTTGTAAATAAACCTTTTTTTCGGATCAGTCAGTCATGATCATGGGACCGTAAGGAGCCCGAAACTTTGGTTTGTTTGAAAAATTGAAATTTAGGTCCGAAAAATAGTTTCATTTCCTATAGGTTTCGATCAATTAATAGATAAGTATTTTCCACATTAATAATTTCTGACCTTTATAACATTACAAAAATTAAAAGTTCCTAAGAAAAGTATCTTTCATTTATATTTGGCCATTAATAGGTTAACTTCAGAAGTAAATAATATGGTTTCTTCAAATGTCGCTTAAGGGCGCGTTCGCATTATGTCGTGACTTAAAACTAACTACTTTAAATGAAGTTGTTCACATATAGTACAACACTGTTGTTCACGACTTTTTTTACTTTGAGACGACAGACTGTCGTGACAATGGGAAGAGCTACAACGACAGTCGTCCGACGATAAATAAAACGTCACGATAAAAATGTGACAACTGACAATCGCATCGCAGCTTCAAACGATTCTGTCGTGCAAACGACAAGATGGCTGCAGTGAACCGATAAATTGTCGTCACGATCAAGTGGGAACAGCTAGATACGACAGTCGTCCAACGATAAATAAAACGTTACAACATAATGGGAACGCGCTAAGTACAAATATAAACGTCAGAGTCGACACGCCAAGAAGAAGTGCAGTGGCATAACGGTTGTTTCTCAAATTAGTGGTCAAGGTTCGAATCCCTGTGGCATACCATACCATAGCGTACCAATGACTTGTTACGTACATTTGTAAGTGTTGACGGAACGTGCCTTCACAAGACACACTAGAACAGATGACAGATTTACAACCACACCAATGGTCCAGTATTAAACTAGGAAATTCATTATACTGTGATTACCAGAGATACGGAATACACTAATAGAACACCCAGACCAGAACCAATTTAGAAAAGTTCACGTCCCAAATTTAACCTTTTTTTTATAACATCAAGTAACGGGACGAATAAGTCGTGCGCCTGATAGTACACCTAATCGCCTGTCCATAACAGTTACAGTGCCACTCAGAGCTTTAAATTGCAAAGATATGATCTTGCACTACCATTGCGCCAGTCACCCTGAGACGTAAGTTGACAAGTGCCATGTGCCTGTCATTTCACCAGCGCCCCTTACCCTTCAAAACCGGAACACAGTAATGCTGACATTAGTTCTTGGCGGCAAAAATAGGTAAGGTGGCAGTACTATCCTGGACGAACTCTTGCACAAGGAGCTCTACTGCTACTAATCCTACCGGGAATCGAACCCTGGGCACTTTTCAGTGCAAACCGTCATGAAGGTCGTCAAAACAAAATAGCAAATCACTAGTTACAGGTTTCTTACTACGATATTAACACAGTTTTTTTTGTCTCAGGATTGGAAGGAAGTTTGGATGGACGAGGCGTATTGGCATATTTTGTTCGCGAGCGTCCTAACAGTGATCATGGTGCTGTGGCGGCCAACAAACAATAACCAGCGATATGCCTTCACACCGCTGCTCGACAACGCCGAAGATGACGATGATGGTAATAATTTTATGACCCGACTGTGACACTTACAAAGAAAATCATTAAAAGGCGTAGGCGCAACAACTTTGGCAAAGTCTGGCAGAATACTCAATAGCGTTTGATACTCGGGTCACATCTCAATGACTGAGCAGATTTGTGTAAAATTCTATGAACAGATAATAGTGTCGTATCCTCCATGGATGACCAACAAACTTAGGTTCAATTTGCGTAGAATTTGTACGTAACCATTTGCATAAGCATATGTCATTCATGTAACGTACAAACTAGTTATGAGCGAACCACATAACTCCTTAAACACGCCTGTCAACTGTTTTTCTTTCCAATTAACGCACACACTCCTAGCATAGTATTATTATAACTGTATATATTTCCATTCTGACACCTTATTGGTTGCCTATTCTGAACGACTTTTTAACCTCACCATAGGACCTGGCAGAATCATCGGCGTCGTAGTTCCAATGAGCCGCGTCATAATGAGTTAGGCCCTTTTTGTTGATACAGTACACTCAACTCTAACCCCAACACAATGTAACTATCTAGACAATGGGAACTCCATACCATACCCGCATCCTGTTTTGATTTCTACCTTTGTATCTGTGTACTGCCTCGGTGGCGGAACGGTTACGATCCTGGTTTGCCACGCAGACTCCCCGAGTTCGGTTCCCGGGCCGGTAGAAATATTTGTAAGGCCTTTATCTCTCTCATGTGTGGGTATATTTTGGTGGTTGTGTATGGCACCTGCGACACAGGATTTCTCTAGTGCAGGGCTATGAGTGTGTGAGTTATATTATTTTGTCATAAGCTTATTAAATGTACAGTCAACAGTACATCAAGCTATACACTTTGGTTTTAATATCGCCTGCAGACCAATGGAACAAGATCCGTCAATGTGTAGCTTGATATGCTGCCGTCCGTCCGTACTGTGATTCAGCAACGACGCGTGTTATCTATTTACTTAAAAGAACGGTCAGAACTTCTCGCGAATTCAGGATAATTGCGAGAAGACTCGGGAATTTCCGTGGCTACGGTATCGTACCTAGTTTGTATGTTACACAATTGAGATAAAAGCTCATTGTGCGATGTACAATTTCGTTACAAAAATTAGCTTCGATTCCGTCAATGTACATTGATCCTTACTTTTTTTTCGCTTAAAACACGAACAAAAGTTGCGTTTGGGCGCTAGTTTCCAATATACTTCAATTGATTTTACTTTATAGAAGAAGAAGAGCAATTCGTCAACGACGCTTATGGCGTGAAAATGCGCGGCTCCACCTCGGCTTTAACAGACGGAAAAGAACAAGACGCTAGGGACAACGCTCCAGAGCCAAACACTCTAGACTCTGACCTTCGTTGGGTAGAGGAGAACATTCCTACCAGCACATTGCCGCTCCTCGATTCTGACGAAGAAATTATTAATACTAAGTTTGAAGTTTCAAAAATGCAATAATCAAATAAATTAATGTTAAATATGTAATGTGATTGTTGTGTTTAATTTTCCAACATTCTTTATCAAGATCACCGAGACCATTGCACTGCTGGACAAGGGTTTCCCCTTAGAAGAGGCATAACTAGCTCCTATGTCAGCTCTGAATTAAATATTATCCCTTCGGTACATTCATCTTCTTTCCCGATCGGTCCACTTTTACTATTCGTCTACTTTCCCGATCGGTCCACTTTTTCGGTTCATCTATTTCCCATTTAGCCTGCTTTCCCGATCGGTCCGCTTTCCCTATTCGTCTACTTTCCCGATTGGTCCACTTGTTTTTCCAGATTCGTCCATTTCCCATTTAGTCTGTTTTCCAGATCGGTCTACTTATCCAAATGGTGGTTTAAGCATGTAAGTTAATAAAATTTTCCAAAAAAAAATCCATTACCAAATTTTCAAAGGTAGTTTGTGATTGCAGATTGTCATGGAGTACTTTTTTATATATTTGATAATAATGGCCGCTTTACGTTGACCATGATTTGAAAAAACAAAATGAAGTAGACGGTTAGTTTTAACCGATTTCAAAAAAAGGAAATGTTTTCAATTTGATTATATTACTTTTTCTATAAGAAGGGAATCTCATTACCACATAAGGCTACTACCCAAATAATAATAACCTAAGGTGATTATAGTTTGTTTTTTGCTGCTACCAGACTGACTGCATGCAGTCCATACTGACAGCAAGCAATAAACTTTGCCATTATTGAAAAAATAAAGTTGTTTCAAACACAAAAAGTCCTATCCTCTGAAGAATGTCAATTGCTACTTTTGATTCTTAGACTATTATTTACATTGACTGCAGCTAACATTGGCAGATGAAGTTTTGACTGCATATAGTTGATCACGACTTCACACATTAATTCCAGACTTGCAGTTCATCAGTTAGCAGCCTATAATTGAAATGCAATATATATGATAAATGATAATAAAAATATCAATTTTAGTCGACAGATATCATGAAGAATTGCAACAATCACATGCTCTTGGAAAACAATGAAAAAATTTTAATTCAATATTTATTTCGTAATATTTAATTATACACTAATAATTTTTAAATATATTTTGTTCTTTAGACATGATCTTTGGTATACAAAATATATTGGAATTATGGCCACACAATACATTTTATGGAAGATTGGAATTCAGTCATTAAAAATATGGAATTCAACATTAAAAACTAAGTAAGTTTATAATAAAAGACTTACTTCAAAATTATAACTACTTGATCACTAATTTAAAATACCTTTGTAAATACTTTGTGCTTAATAATAATTAATGAATATCCTTACATTTGATTATTAGGAAATAATAGGTACAATCAAAATAGAGAAATGTTTGTATCAAAAAATTACGGAGCATCTTTCATTGCACTATTACAATTGACTATATCAACCTCTGCATATACTTTGTGAATAGCTGTTTCTCTTAAAAGTTAAGCATTGATTATATGTACAACAATTCATACACTTATGACCTATTAATTATTATCATAATAAAAATCATAATCCTCTGGTTCTTCTGGTATCTGTGGTGGATCCTGTGGTATATCAATGCCTTCTGCATCCAATAATCGAACCTTGATATCCATGGATAGCAAAGTTTCAAGATCATTCTCGTAAGATTTGCTTGACATCTTTTCTTTTAGCAAAGCATTGATACCATCTGTCCAGTAGTCAAAGATTTGTTCATCAGGAGCAACAAAGTCTAATGATGTCATCTCGGCGGATTTGAGGATTAAAGAGAAAGCTAATTGAGGATTAATCTTCCTTCCTCTCAAATCCTTCATATGGGGGCAGTCTTTGCCAACAACTACGCACTTGACGTCAGTCACTGCCAGTTTGTTTCCAAGTTCTTCCAAAGTTGGGGTACTTTTCTCATCACAGTCACCATAATGCAATACTTTGTGGTTAGGGGAAAGTCTGACAAACCAGAATTTGTCCTTAATCCTTTGACCTCTTGCAGAGTACTTTTTAAATCTTGTTCCTCCAACTAACACACCCAATCTTTGCTGTTGTATCAAGTCAATAATCTCTGGAGTGATCTTTTCTTTCAATTCTACTATAGGCTTTGCGTGAGATTCCCACACCTCTCTGTTTGTCCTTTCCTGTTGCCAGATCTGCGTGATTTCTCCATAAGACAGCTGATTTATCCTCTGTCTAAACTTGTCTAATCCTTTAGGTGATGCTGCCAAAGCCCTGCTTATTTGTTCCCTCACCACACTGGATACTTTTACAAAATCTTCTGTGGTTGCTCTCATCTCTTTCCAAGTTTTGTTTAATACAACAATACAAATGCAAAATAGTTCTTCAAAGGGGTGATCATGAGTGAAGAATAATGGGTGGTATGTCTGGCCCTGCTCACTAGGAGGCTCTCCAATGTGTAGTATATCACTTAGTTGCTTAACTAATTCAACACTTGTCTTGCCAAAAGGACATTCATGCTCATCAGCTCTGCAACTGTTTTCCAAAACGATCTTGGTGTATTCTTCTGGGTAATTCCTTGCAAAATAAAGCATACAGTCCAGAGCCAAGACCCCAGGTGGGACCTCATTGAAATCTTTTATAGGATCAATTTCACATTTGAATCCCAGTTTCTTAAAGTCTTTTGAAAAACTACCTAATTGTCTTCTGGTTGTAACTTCAATATTGAAGCTGTTGTCATTTTCAAATGCAATTTTCCTGAGCTCTTTTATTTTTTCCTGTGACTCCTGCTCTTGAGAATCAGCTCTTTGCCTCATCTTAGGTTCAAGCAAACCAAGCATTAACGTTTGTAACACATACAGTTGATGTGCCAGCTCAGTACCCAGGGCATCTTTAGTAGCATTCTTTGAAATGTCACTTGCTCCTATGAGATTCTCATAGATAATAGTTCGTATGTTCTTTGATGCTAATGTTGCTGCTATAATCCTTCGTTTAGTCATATCAGCTTTAGAAAATATTGCATTTATGAGCGCAATGGCATTTTGTTGTATAATACTGTCTTGATGTAGGTTGTGCAAATGTGACACTAAGTTTGGAATTGTAATCTCCTTTTCAACTTGAGAGTTTTTTCCTGAGCTGTTCAGCACAATATTTTCGAGTATAGAAAGACACGACTGTATTATTTGAGGATCTGGATTTGGACTCGACTGATTGCTTACAAAACTGGCAACTTTATGTATAAACTGATTCTCCAATATATCCCAAGATATAATTCCATGATCCATGAGTTCCACAAATGTAATCAGAGCGTATTTAAGAGAGTTTCCTTTGAATTTACCCGACTCTATGTTGTTTATTATGAGTGAAAGCCCCTTCTTGTTGATAAATTCACAAGCAAATGTTAAGTCGCTGCTAGCAGTAGATAACTTGCACAGTGCGGATGTTTGATCAAGTTCGGAACCTCCGTTGATTTTGAAAAGAATATCTTGAACTGTTTTTGCTGGAGATAGTTCTAAACGGAGAACTGACCCATTTTTTATCGCATTCCTATTCTTTTCAGTTATATAGTTTTGATTGTTGCTCTCGGAGAATTGAAGAGCGTAGTTGTCGGGGTCCGGAAGGCTCCACCGGTCGCATAGTTCCTGTATTATGCTCGACAGTGGCTGACTTTGGTCGAACCCGATTAATTGCGGCACTTTGTCCGGAGGATTGAGCATCTCCACTGCAATTTTAAGTATCGTCGAATCCTTCGTTGCCGACGGCATCTTTGTGGGCTTTGTAGACATTTACACGACAATGTTATATGGAAAATTAGTGAATTTTGTTGATAAACCACTACGCTTGACAACCACACACCTATTCCATTTTTACGTCACATTTCCGTGTTTTCGGACGATTTTTTTTTTGTCGTCTCGATTGTACACACCACCACCTTACATAATAATAATTATATTATTAACAGTTTCATCATGGTTTAATCTAAGAATTACATACACGTTAATTTAATCTTGAGCACAAACTACCTGAGATATGACGCTGTACCAATTTATTGTCCTAAAAGGGCAGGTTAGGGTCAAAATATGAAATTATTTAAAAAATCATTTTAAAATAATTTTAAACGCTCGGCAGCTTGCATTTTTAGTACAAAACGGAAATAATAATTCTAACTATTATTTACTCAGTAATTTAAAAAAGAAATATTACTGATTAGTGAAAATGTTAGTTTATGCTGCGACTTTTATTTAACATGATTTGTTTTATAAGCAGTAACATATAGACACCCTCTTATTGGGTGCAGTGGCGTACGAACAGCAGAATGTAGGCAAAATTTATTTATGTGTTCATTACGATTTGTACCAAATGTATACATAGGTACTACATTTGCCATATATGTATATAATATATATATATACACACACACACCACAACAACAAATGCAGAAATTAGATCAATTTGCAGTTATCAAATGTCGCCTTAAATTGCCCTATCATGTACATAGGTTCAAGTACGTGGTTCTATAGGTCTGCTAATAATACCTAGCAACGAAAACACTTTAGCTTCATGTTTCGTAGAAGAATCGTCTATTTTGTGTTTACTTATCTTTATTTTCTTTATCCGTTCTTAGGAAAATGATTAGGGGTGTATTGTTCTTTGTAATTTTTTACTTTAGTCCTGTTTCGGTTTTTGGATATCGGTGTGACCGACGACCGTACGGTGCTACTACACAGTCAACGGCTTCTGACGGTAGATTTCGATTGACTGTTGTAGGAGCCGAAGGTGTTTATATTCCAGAACAATTATATGTGGGTAAGTTTGCTTAGTTAATAATTTATTTATGTGAACTAATACCAACACCTAGACTTTCTTACACATTCTTTTCATGGGATTCATCTGAATTACGGATGAGTAGTGTTTAATTCAATTAGAAGCGTAATTTAATTGTATAAATTATGCCAAATGCTTTTGACTTCCTAAATGATATATAACGGTGCGTACATAGATACGTAATACATATTGTAATAGGTACATATTATACATATATTCAATGATATATAGGGTCAATTTACAATCTGACACGGAATGGAAAGGAAACGTCAATTTCTCTATGCTGCGCGAGAAGGCCCGCGCGGTCGTTGGAATGCTCGAGAATTAGCGAGCTTTCTTGGCGCCATGAGGCTCTAGTATTTCTTCGACGATTGACTTCACGCTGCGCCGCCTTCGCGCTAAATCACATGGATGCGCCCGGCGTCGCCGAGGGCATCCGGAATTCTCGCGAATGCGAGAGCATGTGCGAGAAATCCGCAGAAGACGCGTGACGTGATTTTTTGGCTCGTACCTAGTTTGTACGTTACACTATTGACCACAAAGTTAATTACGCTATGTATACATACAAAATCGTAACAAAAATTCGCTTCCATTCCGTTTTGGCGCAATAGAAATTGAGCCATAGTATCAGGTACCTACTAGTGGAATAATTTATAAGTATCTAAGCTTAAGCATTTCATGAACGACCATTTAAGCGCTATAGTAGGTCAGTTAGAATTGTCAAAACATCACAAAACAATGTGTTTTGTTGGCACAGTGAAAATAAGAACGAACGACAACGAAGCCCGTTTCATCTATTTCATTATATCAGCCGAAGGAGATATGAAGCCAGATCCAAGAAATCCACGGCGTTTAATTTCACACTTAGCAGGAGAAGTTCGTCCTCAAGACTTCGGAACTGCCAAGTTCTCCGATCGATGCCCTAACTCTGTCGAACAAGTTATATCTAACTTAAAGAGTTCGGTGGAGGTACTGCATTTAATTTTATTTGTAATTAAAAAAAAATTGACATTAAACAATTCTGTAAATCTATTAATATGCAAATAAATAAATAAAATAAAATAAATAAATTAAATTAAATTAATCGTACGAGGAGTTTCAAAATGAGCACGGTAAATACGATTAAAAAATAAAAACGATTTCCCGCCTTAGCCTGTCTCCAAGGAAGAAAAATTTTACTACTACTCTAATAAAATTGTAGGTGTATTGGCAAGCGCCTCCTTCAGGAAACGGTTGTGTTACTCTTCGTGCAATGGTGGCTGAGAACGACGATCTTTGGTTTGAGGATGGTCCGCCACTGACTCAAAAACTGTGCGAAGATTCCAGACAGCCCGATGATGTCTCGCCACAGCTGAATTATGAATGTAGCATATGCGATGATGCTAAGTACGAGGTGCGTTAATAAGTGAATTGTTATCTAAGATTTATGTTTCGTGAAATAAAGATTATTTCAGTAGTATTACCTATTAATGATTGATTGAGGACGTCATTAAGAAGGTCACGGGTTCGACTTCCGGTAAATCGTAAATTGTTTCTCTGTTCTTCTCGCAACGGCCGAGAAGGCATTGGCGGTACGATCTTAATAAGTTTGAGACGAGTGGTGGGAAATCGTTAAAGACAGCAGCAGTGGAGGATTCTAGGGGAGACCTTTGCCCAATAGTGAGACACAATAGGTTAAAATAAATGCTTCTCCATAACGCGCCTGGTATAATTTACATACTTTGGTACGAGTTCTATTAGTAGGTATTATAAGTATTATAAGTAGCACAGGGAATTCGTTAGTTGAGGCTAGGTGATTGGTGCAATTGTTTGCTCCACTGTTCCATAACATTGCGTTGCTATTATTATATCATATTTCAATAAATAAAAAAAAGCCGAAAAATGAAATATAATGTGCATTCACCACTGCTTTTTGCTGATTATTTAATATTAATTATTTTTGTTCAGATATCATTCAGAGGCATTTGGTCCCGCAATACACATCCGTTGCATTTCCCTGAGAACCCAAAATTACCTCGTTATAGCAGCTTTGTTGGGGCGTCACACGCTGCTGATTACATTTTATGGGCACCTGGAACTCTTGCCTCTGATGGTTTAAAGGAGCTGGCAGAGAACGCCGATTCCAGTAAATTAGAAGCTGAAATTATCGAAAAAGTGAGTTTAAAAGTGGGTGACAATTGTTGCTCCAACGCTTTGATTTTCTAAATAGGTCAAATGTGCTGCAGATTGGCGATGGAATTCGAACCCTGATAAAAGGCAAAGGACACGGCTATCGCAAGATGAACCGCACAAGCTATTCATATTTCCGCGCCGATAAAGCCAATCATCTCTTGTCGACTGTAGTCGCCATCTACCCGTCTCCTGATTGGTTTCTTGGTGTCGCAAGGTTCGAGCTTTGCTTAGAAGATAATACTTGGCTAAAAGAACGAGAGCTTAATTTATATCCGTGGGACGCTGGAACTGACAGCGGAGTATCTTACGAGGTAAACAGATATAAGTACTTCACTTATGTAATGTTTAAAGAATTATAAAGGACTCCAATGTTAATATGTTAATTTAGGTTTAAATAACATCGTCTGAATTTACACCTCACCAAAAGATCGATACCTCTAATGTGGAACCTCCACTGAATACTATACCCCAATTTATTTATTTATTTATTTATTTATTTATTGCAAATAATGTTGGTACAAGCATTACATACTAAGTACAAACATACCCCGTCGGGGTGTAGCAAAGTGAATTGTACATAAACAGCAGGATATAAACGTAGGTTCTTAAAATAGAGGTTATACAAGAGTTAAAACTAGAGAGTAGATTCCATGAAGTCTCTTACGCTATAGTAGCACCTATTTGTTAGGAGACACTTTAATTTTGTTTTAAGTATGTTGTCATTTTCTTTCTTAAGTAAGTCCGGAATTTTATTATAAATTAAGATATATCGGTAGAGCGGGCTTTCCCTGAACATTTCTAATTTCGGGATCGGTAGTACTAGTTTAGTGTTACGACGTTCGCTTCCAACAAATTCAAAAAATTTTAAATGTTTTCTAACAAACATGACAGTTTCCAATATATATATAGACGGAAATGTTAGAATTTTGTCAGTTATAAAATGCGGCCTGCACGTGTCCCTTGGGCGTATGTTGTCTATGATGCGCAGACACTTCTTTTGCAAGATGAATAAATCATTTGCCTCAGTGCTGTGGCCCCACATCACTACGCCATAACGAAGCCACGCGTAAGCGTAAGCATAGTATGCCGATAGAGCACATTCACGCCTGGTATTAGCTTTAAGAACGGTTAGTGCATAAGTAAACTTTGATAATTTAGATTTTATGTTATCGATATGATTTTTCCAATTTAAATGTGTATCTAATGTTATTCCTAATAGTGTAAAATTGTTTGTTTCATCTATACTGAGGTTGTTTATAATTGTATTTAAATCTAATGGTTGCTTTTGATAAGGTTTAAACTGTATTATTTTCGTTTTGTTGAAATTTAATTCTAGATTATGTTCTAGAAGCCAGTTTTTTACATTATTGAAAGAATTTTTTATTTCAGTTATAGTATTGTGGTCGATGTTTTTGCATTTGAATAACAATGATACATCATCGGCAAATAGTATACTTAGCGTGTTTGAAATCTTAGGCAAATCATTTATATAAATTATAAACAAGATGCACCCCATTACACTGCCTTGCGGGATGGACCAATTGGTGGTAACTACTTCTGAAAGTACGCTTTTTATTTCGCCTGTATCATCGTCATGATGGTCAATTAGTACACATTGTTTTCTGTCGGATAGATACGATTTAATCCATTGAAGCGCTATTCCCCTTATGCCTACTCCATGCAGTTTATCGAGAAGGACTGCATGCGAAACTCTGTCATACGCTTTTGACATGTCTAGAAGGACTCCTACAGCATAGTTTTTGTCATTGATATAGCTAAGAATCTCTTGTACATATTTAAATGCCGCCTCCGATGTAGATCGCTTTTTTCTAAACCCGTATTGATTTTCATCGAGTAAGTTATATGTTTCTAAGAAATTATAGATTCGGTTGGTCATAGTCTTTTCAAACAGTTTGGATAACACGGGAAGCAGCGCTATAGGCCTATATTGGCTAGGGTCGTCAGTTTTCGTACCTTTTTTGAAAATCGGTTTAATTTTAGCTATTTTTAATTTCTCCGGGAAAGTTCCTTCATTATAGGATTGATTTATTAAAAATGTTAATGGTGAAGTTAGTTCGTGTATACAAGCCTTAATCAATACTGGTGGAATGCCATCAATACCACAACTAAGCACATTGGGCAAGCGGTGGATTAGGTTATAGATATCTCCCTCCGTTACAGGTTTTAAGAACATGGAATTTACAGCAGCATTTAATTTTTGGACTGTTCTGTTTTTACTTTGTTTTTTGTTTCTTTATTTTTTTTTCACAAATTCGGGGAGCATAATATTGTTAATTATATATGGCTGTTTACAAAAATGATCAAAAAATAAAGTTGGCGTAGTTCATTCAGTTTCATTAATTAATAAAGTAGCGTTCATTGGAGGTATCGAGATAATAAAGAAATACATTATTTTAATTAAATTAGGTACATTTTATGGCTAGTGTTGTATGACGTGTCTCGGTTACACGTACCTACAGTTAAACTATCACAACTCATAACAGTAAGTATATTTTTTTAATGATATCTAGGGACGGGATGAACATAAGACGTGCACCTGGTGGTAGACGACACGCCTGTCCATGGCAGTTGTAGTGTCACTTAGAGCTTTAAATCGCAAAGATCTGAAGGGCGTTGCCACTGCGCCCATCGCCCTGAGTCAAATCCCATGGGCCTGTAATTTCACCAGCACCCTTACCCTTAAAAATGAAACGCGTTACTGCTTGGCGGGAGAAATAAGTAAGGTGGCAGTACATCCCAGGACAAACTCTTAGGGTAAAACCAGGTTAGATGCCCCACTTTTTGAAAGGGTCTCGTAATTTAAAAATCATTAGAGTAATTTTCATTCCTATGGATATAACACTAGTTTAATCTTTTATATTACATGAAGACTTGATTTTATTGATCTAACATTTACTGATTTTGTAGAAATTGACTTTTTGCAAACCTATTTTTTTGAGGATACACCTACCTATAGACACGCCTACCTATAGACGCCACACGATGAAAATACTAAGAAGGATAGATGCTCTTTAGAATAAAATAGTAAAATTCGTAATAAAATGTTTTATTTGTAACCTTTAATATATTGTATATACTTATTACATCTTTGATAATAAATATATACGTATTTAAAGTTACTACCTACTTCACTTCGTATTTTTGTAGCTATCAAAACATTCTATACAAAAATGTTCGCTGTTTCAACTGTGAATAATTTGTCTTTTTGGTACTTTTACTTACTTTTAAACTATTACCATTTACATGTCTTTTTCACTAAAACAATGTATTTTTTTATTTTCTTTTCCTAACTTTCTTGTCTTGTCCTTTGCCTCTGTCTTTGCACCTATACCGCGAAAAATTGAGGCGACTATCCTATTCGATATGGATAGATGCCCTTTTATTATATAACTAAGCTATATAAAAAAGAGCGATTATTGACACCTAGGTGCGCAGTTAATAACCCGTGTATAGTTATAATAAAAATAAAACGGAATTTGTTATAACTTACAAAGTTATGCGACAGTAAATACTTGCGTCTGAATGAAACGTTTACTGTGTTCGTCGCGGAGATAAACGCATGAACAAGCCAAACGCGTCTATTTCACACGAAGCCCTGCAGGAACTTTGATGAGTGGTGTTTATACTCCTCATTTAAATTAATTATTCTTTGTTGCGATTTGTGGAAGTTAGGTTTTTTGAAAACGTAGCACCTATCCCACTGCGGCATCTATCCCGGTTTTACCCTAACTCAAACTCTGTACTACTGCTACAATAATAATAATAACGCACACATTCAACATAACCCCGCACTAGTGAAACCAAAAAACGCGGGTGCCATACCCGCGACATAAGGTTTACACACATAGACAATCATAAATTAGACTAGACCCAAACTCACAAGACAAATAAATATAAGCCATACAAATATTTCTCCCGGCCCGGGAAACGACTCTGGGACCTCTGCGTGGCAGTTTGGCGTGGTAACTGATCGACCACTGAGGCAGAAAATAGAACCTAGATAGCTATTACTTTATCACAATGATACATGTTGTTAAAAATAATGAAGTTTTAAGTTCGAATTGGGTAATAATAAATACGAAAACGGCGATAATTATATGTAGAAAAATATAAATTAGGTGGATCGATCCTGATATCAAATTACTTGCCAATATTTGCCTTGAAAAAACCCAGTTTGCGTTTTCTTTTGAAACTGCAAGACTGACGTTAAACTTCCAAAGGAAAGAGACAAGTCGTTCCAACACTTTCAGTTTTTGTCACTTTCAGTCGCCAAATATTCCTACAGTGCCACAAGATGCAGTAAAACGCGTCCAAATGAGTTCGTACGACAGGAACTCTCCATTTTATGAAACCGATATGAAAGACATGCTACCTTTTGGCAAGATGCAGATTAAACTTGTGAAAACTTACCATAGGAATTGCGAAGAAGCTGCAGGTGGGAACGAAACTATTGTATAATTTAACTTTAGTAAATTAATCTGACGCTAAGCTTATACATTTTCATTCTTCTTTATTGTAGAAGGAGAAACCCCAGGCCCAGATAAGGATGGTGACGGAGAAGACAGACAGGAACCGGAAGAACCTTCCAGGTATCAAAATAGCGGCAACGACGGGGGGTGAGCCATAATAGTTCTAGTCTAGAACTTCTCTCATTCTCTTTTTATTTTATTTATTAACGTGCCAGCAACATATCGTACAATATGTTTATATAATTCTTCTTCTTTTAAATGTTATGGCCCCATCGAAATAATCGATGATTCCACCAATGTCAAATAAAAATGACTATGTACAAAGTTTTATAAAAATAATATGGACGCCAATTATGGTGCGTTCCCACGGCCCGTGATGTCAAACGCGCCGATTAATATCAGCGAGCTCGCGAAATGGGGAATCCGGGGGCCCCGGGCCGACGCACGTGGCGGCGCATAGGTATTGTGATTTGTATCGCGCGTTCTCGCGCCGTGCTTTTAAAGTAACCGTCCAGGGGCGGATCCGAACAGGGCGCCAAGGGCGAGCACGGGCACGCTCGGGCGGCCCTCTTTCCACGGCGCGTTTTCGCGTTTCGCGTTTTTAGGCGAAGCCGCCTTTATTACTGGTAAACGTAACATTACCTATTCTGTCCTCCTTGTCATAAACAACGCATTTGGTAACTTTCGAGATTTTTTTTATAATATCAAGTGACGGGACGAACAAGTCGTGCGCTTGATGGTAAGCTACACGCCTGACCATAACAGTTGCAGTGTCACTCAGAGCGTTAAATCGCAAAAACTTGAGAGTAACATAAGTTGACAAGTCCCATGTGCCTGTAATTTCACCATCACCCTTACTCAACACCGCTGCTGCATGCTGCATTACTGCTTGGCGGCAGAAATAGGTAAGGTGGCAGGTACAACCCTGGACGAACCGTTTCACAAGAAGTTCTACTGCGACTAAAGTAAATTATTGGCACCTAAAGTTTGTTTCTTTCTTTGAAAAATATTTATACCTTATTACGCTGATTTTGCTTAAGAATGAAACTGAAACTATATAGGTAAGTTATAAAAACACATCTCGTTCCATTGATTCCAGATGCGTGATACGTCGTTTATAATGTAAAATCACATTAAATTAGATATTTCCATATTACTTTATATATTTTTTTTAATTTATTTATTTAGTTATTTATTTCAGGCGACCTGATCCATATAATGTATACCTTAAGGACTAACATACATACAATGTAATATAACAATGTAATAAACTAAATAACCACTCTTTTATAATACAAGCCGTATTATAAAAGTATTATTTCCTTAGCATGCTTATAATTATCCTTTCGATACTCGCTTAGGTAGCCCAGCCAATTCATAACTACCAGATGCTTGAAAGGGGATGCTTTTCAGAAGTCTGAAAAGATCTGAAATAAAATCTAATTATTTTTAGTGAAAACCCAATTCAGCCAGATCCCGAATCCCAAGACAATTGTCCGGTGTCTCAGTGGCAACCTTGGGACTGTGAGGGCAAATGTGTAGACGGGAAACGTGAAGGCTACAGACGAGTGGATCGCTTTCACATTGTCAATGGAGTAGTAGTGGACGATGTAAGTTTTTATTTGCCCTTCTTATTGTATTGATGGTGTAAATTATAACGCTTGCCATCGTGGTGAAAGGATTTGCCAATCGGCGTATTTTTAACCGACTTTAAAAAAGGTGGAGGTTCTCAATTCGAAAGTATTTTTTTGTTTGTATGTTACGATACGTGTTGATAACTCCGGCTTAAATATTACAATTTAAATATTACAATTAGCTATAAAATTACATTTTTTTTTGGAAAGAGGGTACTTCAGTAGGTATTAGTCTCATTTAATTTCTTTTTTAATTTAAAGAAAATATTCCACCTTCCAGGGTGGCAAACTGGGGGATGAATCTGACCTGAATTTGAACCGATTTCAATAAAACTTGGCAAATAGATGTTTCCACGAATTTTTGAGGACGGCTTCTTTAGTACTTTGTACTAAAATTTGTTGTTATTGTTTATTGCCGAGTGCGCCAGACGAGGCTCCTTTCGTACATTCCATTTGATTGCCCTATCAATTCTACACGTATAGTCCCTAATTATTATTCTCGTAACTATTTTTTATAATGCAATCGTCGAAAACAAGTTTTGATTCTGCTTTTGAGGCGTCTTTGCATTAATTCACGTATGTTACAATATTATTAACTTTTCATAAAGATCTGTTGCCGTCGGGCTCGCCGATCTAGTCAGTATTATAATTATCATAACAGTGTAGTCTCTGAGGTATTTACACATTATACACTTTCAAAAATAAAGGTAGATAGTATCATATATACTTTGTAGTAAAAACAAATCTTAAAGATTGGTGTATATACACTATTTGTATTGTCTGTTTAGACGAAACCGTCGTACAAAAAGTTGGTGCCGAAGGAATGCCTAAATAAATACAAGATGAGTAGTACTGAAGAATGTACCGAAGATTGTTCTTCCGACGAAGAACGAAATACTGCAGGTATTAGTATAAATTGTTGTAAACGATGTAGTATCTGTTTGTTTCCATGAGAGTCGAATACAAAATCCAAGTTTTGTAAAAAGTAAAAGAGATTGGTTTTACTTATAGGTGAAAAAATATTATTTGCACCGATGAATATTGTCTCTTGGAACGGTTTATCATTTCTATTACAATACGGTAATAACACCATTAACACTTCTTAATGCTCAAAGCGTACATGGACTTAATGATCTTGGTCCATCGTACGAATAATGGATGCGTTAAATGCTTTTTCTGAAAACTAGTATTGAATTATTTGTTTACTCATCAAGCCTTTTTTTTAAACCTGTAACGACTTCGTAAAATACCGGTTCTTTTCTTACTAATTCAACAAAGTTAGTTCCGCATAAAGATCATCAAGTTTAGAATTAAGTGCCATACCTAAAAGTGTTTAAACTAGTTGCTTGGACTATACAGTAGGGCTAGCATGATAATAGCAGTATCTCACGCTTTATATCGCTCTCGCGCTATCGTGCTAGCCTTACGATGGCACGTGCGTTAAACGGACCATTCACTACCTGCATGCCAGTCCGCCGCGAGACTGCTCATACACTATCCTACATATGGCCCACGTATGGAGTCTCTCAGGACGCATTGCAGGATTGCATGATGGCTTAAGGCCCATTTAGATGGAGAGAGTTTATCGCACGCTTCGTGGCGAAAAATCGTACGCAACTATCGCAATCAATACCTAATCGCCATAAGATTATCGTATCATAATGTTTACATACAGACAAGGACTAAAATCTCACCTACGATTGTGTCATACGAGATTCGCAAGTTACTAACTATTAAGTTGCTTGCGATTACGCCTCTTCGATTGTTTACAAATAGAAATATATAGTAAGGAGGTTGGTGCTTCCGAGTTCTCGAGGAGGTTCCAAGTTCATACGAGTATCGTACAAATCGGTTAGAATTGTTTTGAGTGATAACTGTGGTGGACTACGGATATATCAAAATGATGCAAAAATCATCCAAATTCGGAAATACTGACAATATTAACTTCATTGAAACTTATAGAAATATACTTTTATTATTTTTATTTTTATTTTATAACTTTTCTCCAACATTTTTTTTCCTTTTACTTTCATTAATTCTTGTCTTACAAAAGCAGTGCGCTCACTGCACTCATGGTAGCGACTGACTGGTACAAAAACTCGAAATACGATTTTTGTTTTTAAATTCTGTTTACACGGAGACGTTCAATATTCAAAGGCGAGGCGATTATCACTCACGTGGAAGGCCGATAATTGCGAACGTTTAGACGAGGAAACTTTTTTATATTCTTTCGATAATCGTATCTTCAAGACGAGAAACTCTCTTCATCTAAATGGGCCTTTAGACGCTGCGACTACATTCATAATCCTTTACACGGCGGGCGGTTAGTCAAACTGCAATGCAGGATGCCCTATTACCGAGACGGGTCAATCTTTTGTCCTATTGTATTCTAAAGATGAAGTAATAAGACGAATCGATGTAAATAATATTTCGCCAACTAGACAGTGTTACCACAGGTAATAATATAATACTACTTAATATATGTTACTACACATGTTATGTTTAAAAGCAGCTATTTTTAGTTTGTAACCGTCTAACTTTCTTCTAATTTCAGTGGAACGAAGAATAGGGAACCCAATCGCGCCTGGACATCCTTGGGTTTCCAAGAAACGAGATTTGCCGAAAGAAATAGTTTCATTGGAGTAGGGAAGTTTACCGACGCTATTGTATGTAACCAAGTATAATTCACGGAAAGTTCCGTCAGATAATAAATATGAATATCCCTTTATGTTATTATTTTTAACCTCGCCAATGAAGCTCTTTTTCTAATAAGTAATTTTCTACCTTTTTTTATGATACCCAGCGACGGGACGAACATATTTGCGCCAAGTGGTAACCGACACGCCTATCTACAGTTGCATTGCCATTCAGAGCTTTAAATCGCAAAGATCCGAGGACACTGCCACTGCGTCCGTCACCCAGAGACATACGTTGACTACTCCCATGTTACAGACACGTGGGAGTGGTTCGAATCAGTGTGGCAGCATGCACATATGACTTTGAGTTACGTACATTTGTAAGTGTTGACGGAACGCGCCCTCACATGACACACCGCAGATGACAGATCAGCAACCACCCGTATTGTCCAGTCTTAAACTAGGAAATTCATTGTACTGTGAGGTACGGAGTACCAGAGGTACAGAATTCACTAATAGAACACCCAGACCTGAAATAATTCACAAAAGTTCATGTCGTTTAACCTTTTTTTTTATAACATCAAGTGACGGGACGAATAAGTCGTGCGCCTGATGGTACACTTACACGCCTGTCTATAACAGTTACAGTGCCACTCAGAGCTTTAAAGTGCAAACATCTGATCTTGCACTACCATTGCACCCGTCACTCTGAGACATAAGTTGACAAGTCCCATGTGCCTGTCGTTTCACCAGCACCCCTTACCCTCCAAAACCGGAACGCAGTAATGCTCACAATACTGCACACACTCCACAACGTCCCGCACTAGGGAAACCCTGTGTCGCAGGTAACATGGACACACACATAGACAACCACAAATTACATCCAAACTCATGAGAGAAATAAATGTAGGCCATACAAATATTACCCGGCCCGGGAAACGAGGTCCTAGACCTCTAGGAGGCCGTAAGCTTACCACCTCTAGACGAATTCTTTCATAAGGAGATCTTCTGCTACTACAACCTAAGGTGCTCAGTTGAACTCAAAACGACATCGAATCGTTGAGAAATGTTGAATTAATTGTTAATTAGTAAAAAAAATTTAGTTCAATTCACGCAAAGTAAACAAGTTCATCAGTCGCATTTATCTCATCAAGATGGTTATAGAGTATGATACATAATGCAATAACCTTTATTCCATTACTGGTAAGGTTTATAATTCAGTCGTTACATAATCCAGGGATGCAATTCAAAACGTGTCATGAAAATTAATGTAGTTAATGAAATAAGAGCCGCTAGTTAGTAGTAAACTGGACACTTATGTGTTATCCCGTTTCATTGAGCTGTATTTAAAGAGTAATAAAGAAGATAACAGAGGACTAGGATGTTATAATGGGTCTAGACTACGTGGTTACGGGTAAGTCGCTGATCTTCATTAACTATTGTAAAAACTTTTACATAGCGTGTGAGCTCTATCACCAACACCATTTAATTTTATATAAATAAAAATTTGTGTACACCTAATCTATTCGTTAATTTTTGAAATATACGTTACTAAATAGGAAATTGAAACTATTTTTTCGTTCAGCCGTGACCATGGGACCTATAATGGGCCCGAAACGTTGTTTTTTTTTCATTTATTTAAGAAAATCAACAGCCATATAAAATATACTGAATGCTAGTCGGTGTTAAGGCCAATAACAGATTTTTCTGGATTACATTTATATAATTTAGTAGTATTAAACAGATTATCTCGCATTGACTAACAAAACAGATAAGTGCGTATTAGACAATGTTAAATATTAAATAAAAAGACACTCGACTTAATACTTTGCGTGTCATAAAATCTACCACAGCACCTACAACCTGCAATAAACATTACTCGTCCTCCTAAAGGATAAAAATTACATAAATTTATGCAAATAAAAAACATGAAAAAACATAAACACTATATCTGCCGTCCACTAACTAAAACGCGGCTAATGACAAATGGTCAAAAATCCGTTTTAAATAGCAAAAATAGAGTACAAAATTTTCTTTTAAAGACAGTTAAAATTAGTTAACGTGTTCGACTTATCGGAACGTACCAAAACGATGCATAACTGAAATACCATTAAACAATTTCAATAATCTAAAACTGGGTTATGGTTTTTTATGATATCTCAAAAAATTATTTTGTCTAGCTAGCGGGCGGCAGATGTGGATATGAACAAAATATAGTGGAACTTCACGTGGCTATTTGTATTTGTATTGGCATATTTGCCTTGCTTGCCTATTCGACAAATAATGCAGTAATGGTCCGTTTCGGTTCAAAGGTGCCAAGTAGGCAAATACGCAAGTAAACCTTCCATACTATGGCCATATTCATTATTTTAACTTCTTAGCTAGATATATTAGATATCCATATATTTCAGTGTCTGCATGTTTGTCTGTACATCAAACACCCAATAACAAATACAAGTAGCCATTTGAAGTGCCGCCATTAAGTTTGAAAAAAAAAAACAAATATACCAAGATACGAAAAATAGTGTCGATGTGTAACAATCGATAGACATTAATAAGTTTTATGATATACATGTTTACCTATTTCATTTAATTAACACTAACACTGTGGTCGAATGCCTTGCACACTGATTTTCATGGTGTCGCGATCTCTGAGGTCCCAGATTCGATCGCCGGCTGGGTTAATGTAGAAAACCACAGACATAGAAAAACTAACTTTTCTAAAAAAAATTGTCTCGGGTCTAGATGTTTGCGGTAGCGTCCTTGTTTCTGATTTCCATGACACAATTGCTAATTACCTACTTACTTTGGGATTAGGGGGTCTATTCTCGTTCTCCGTCTGACATTCATCCGAAACAATAACTGTCAAACAGCTGTCAAATAAGCAATAGGTACTCGACCAAGTTATAAGACAATATGAAGCTTCATTCGCATCATGCGTCTTTAAATTTAATCTAGTACGTGGGGCGCACTATAAGTTTCCGGAATGTATGGAATTTATTGTTTCTCAAAATATTCTCCGTTAGCGGTAATGCACTTTTTCTTATGAATGAACCAATTTTGAAAACATTTATGCCATTCCTCCGTGTCAATCTCTGAAACATATTTTTCATACTCTTCGACAGTCTCTTCAAGTGATTAAAATCGTTGACCGCGTAGGTTCTTAATTTTTAGAAAAAATAAAAAAATAAAAGTCACAAGGTGCCAGGTCGGGACTGTACGCGGGATGGCTCATTAGGTCAACGTTGTTCTCCTTCAAAAATTCATTTGTCTGTCTGGCCGTGTGAGAACTGGCATTATGTGGTGCAAGATGATACGGCGTTTACGATTATTTTTACAGAGTTTGTCAATAACTTCCGGCAAACAAATGGTCGTGTACCAATCACTATTGATACACGGTACATCGATTCTCCAAAGCAACAGTAGCTACGTGTCCAGTTTTATTAAAAAAGAAGCAATTATCCGCTTAGAGGCACTTTGCACGCGCGCCACTTTGTTTTTCGGCTCATCTCGAAAGACCCATACGCTCGATTGCTGCTTTGTTTTGGGATCATAACTATAAATCCATGTTTCGTCACCTGTTACTATGTCCCACACCAAATTTGACGCCCCTTCTTTGAACCTGGGTTCAACCATGGCATTGCACCAAGTGACGCGATCCGTTTTATGAGCCTCAGTCAAATTGTGTGGGATCCACCGAGAGCACAGCTTTTTCACACCCAAATGTTTGTGTAGTATTGATTGTATTTGACTCATGGCTATGCCTAAAGATGCCCGAATCTCATGGTATGTCACATGCCTGTCCGTTTTGATCATACTGTGCACAGCATCGATGTTTTTGTTGTTCACAGCAGTGGACGGGCGACCGTCACGAAATTCGTCACTGAGATTCACACGACTGTGTTTGAATTCTGTAAACCAGCTATAAATAGTTGTCTTGCATGGTGCTTCATCGCCAAATGCAGTTTGAAGCCGAGTGAAGCGCCGCTGAGCTGTTAAATTACACTTAAAGTCGTACAAAATCATACTACGAAAATTTTCACGAGTTAAATCCATGGTGATGTAGACAACCAATTTTTAAAATGACACCACAATGTAAAAACAAGTGACAGTCAGATGAAACCACAGACCACATGTAAAACAACTATTCTACAGCCAAAGAGTTTCATTGTCAAATGTTGTAATTACTTTTTAAATATTGTTTATGTAAGTGGCCAGTTCCGGAAATTTATATAGCGCCCTATGTATTACTTATTTGATTTTGATAGTAATTGTTTCGGAGAGGACGAAAGTACTTACAGGGCCAGAGCAACGAATGTGATGTTGTTTATTATAGTACGTATTAATGAACTTTTTGTCTTGTTGTCCTGTATTTACATTTGACAGGTTTACTTCGAAAATTATGCATTTGCATAATCTTAGTCAAATGCCATGGATTTTTGGTGGATGATCGGCTATTATTATGTAACCGTATTCCTTTGGGCACAACAGCGGCTGCGTTGGAGCCAGACAATCGATTTGTACTTGAGATCGTAGATCTCGATCTGGCGACTCAAGAGTACATACCAAATCGGCAATATCCAAGTGAGTTATAGATATTAGTCTAGCTGCACATGTACTTAATCCTAGTGGCCCTCGTTCGGTATAGGACAAATTCTGGATTCGACAGATTCTTGGATTTGGATACGACAGAAGTGCAATTGTAAATAAAACAGAAAGAGGAATTAAAATAGTATACATTTCATTAAGGTTCAAATCCGGACTTGCATCTCTGAATTTCGCGGAATTTAATGTAAAATTTAATTGGAATTTTACCGCGAGCTTTTGGTGAACGAAGACATTGTGATGAAACCTGCCCCCAGGCTCGCCTGAAAGGAGACCCATGTCCAAGCGTAAGACGTATTTAATGGGTTGATGATGAAGATATTTCATTGAAAAGACACAAATTGAACAAGAACACAATCTTAGTATACCGTTAATAATAATAATTGTTTGTTTCAGTCCGTAGACCATAGTAGAAAAATACAATTTAATACAATTCATAATTTTAAAAACCATCCAACAACTTAAAAACAAAATTAAAATGTCACAAAAAATATAAAAATAATATCAATAAGATAAATTAAAAATAAGTTTGATTCAGTCAAGCTCTACCTATGTGGCAATTTCAAGCCAGAGCGGTTGTACATCGACAGCTCTCGAATTAAAGCGTGAAACAAACAGAGAGCGGGTGCATGTCGGGCGAGGGGCGGGTCGAGACCGCGGCGGTATCCGTGTATTTCTACAGACGACAACACACCGAGTGCAGGCGACCCGACCCGCACCCATTCTCTGTGTGTTTGCCGCTTAAACCTTGTTACTACTCTGCCCAAGCCTTCCCATAAAAGAAGCTATAGATACGACGCCGTCTCACAATGGTACTTTAGAGGTATTTGTATATAGTTTTCCTTATTTTTTCTTTAATAAAAACACTATAATTATGTTTTGTTTTTTTTTTAGTTGTAAATATGTGTTATTTATTTTGTTCAACCGTTTCAGGCATTACATTACGCTAATCTTATTAATGTTGATGTAATTATCTTGTATATTTTATTACGTTTACGACCTTCGACATTATTTATAAGGAATCTGTATGGACAAAAATCCAAATAAATGCCCCGGGGAATTGTAACACGGGATTCTAATGTATTTTGAACACTCACACCACACCATCAACCCATTTATACGTCCCACTGCTGGGCACGGGTCTCTCCTCAGGCGAGGGTTTAAGACGGCTTAAAACGACTACGGAGTCCGTCACGCTGGCCCTATGCGGGTGGGGGACTTCTAAAGCTCATGGTAAATTTCAAATTCAATTTCGCACATTCGCACCCAGAAACTCAGAGGTGCTAGTCCGGTTTCGATTCATACCATATTTCAACCTAAATGAGTAATGATTATTACGCAGGTTGGAGTACAATAATAAGATGAATTTCCGAAGAATTTGTACCAGGCTTTTAAACATTTTAAAACAGATCTATTCACCTCCAATACAATATTCTTAACCATAATACAATTTTCAGTCCGTCTTAGCACAGTAGACAACAAAACCACGTTCATCGCTTTTACAATATGGATTCAAGAAGATCTGAACGAAAATGAAAAGAACCCTCGCAGACCACATCATCTGTTGCCAGGGAAAATACAGCCAGACCTTACAAATTCGATGGTTATGCCCAATTGTGCAAACACTCTAATGCAGACAGATGTTTTACCTAAAAAATCAGTAGAGGTGTGTATTAGCATGTAATCATTACGTGGCTATATAAAGATTTTAATTACGTAACAAAGGGAGTGAATTGCGACCCCAATATTTACCCTACTACTGCCCAAATACAGAGTTATATTAAAGTAAATGATTACCATCTTTCTTCCAGCTAAGCTATACACACATAGAACACCAAAATTCTGTGCACATTCTCATTGTCTGTACAGATGACCGTGCGTTGCTATATACTATTATGTACTACAATGCAAATGTATGAAATTAGACATTGAATTACATTAGGGCTAGATACCATTTCTACCTACTTGTAAAAAAAAATTTTTTTCGTCGTTGTCTGCATTAAATTTTCTAACAACATTATTATACTCAGGCTTGGGCAAATTGCGTGCTATGTTTAAATTAAAATATAAATTACAAAATGATTTCTTACATGTATTTAAGTATTTAATACAATCGTTACCACAAACAGGGATACTACGAACGTATTTCAAATATAAATTACAAAATATATTTTTACGTAGTAATAGAAACACAATTATAATATTTGCTTTCTAGGTACTGTGGACGGCTCCAAATAAGAATAATAAATGCGTTACGATACAAGCGTATGTTGCAATTAAACCTGATGTGTGGTATACTTCTACGGGACCTTTAGCCAAACAAGTATGTGAAGATAGGCGAAAAAACGAAGATATGAAACCGACAGAAAATGACAACTGTGACGTGTGTGAAGAAGCTCGTTACGAAGTAAGTTGCCCTTATTGTTTTAATTCAATCTTGACTCTTCGATTGACTTAATTTACAGAATGTACCTTAATTACGATTAGAATCAACGATGCTTTTTTTCATAGCTGAAATTTGAAGGTACGTGGTCCTACAACACGCATAAAAATCTATATCCTGAACCCCAGTTGAGTCCAACCGGAGATCACAAAGAAGAGGTAGTAGCAGCTTTCAGTGATGTTGTTGGTGCATCTCATAATAAGAATTATTACGTGTATAAAGACTCTACTTACGCAACTGAGGGTTTAAAGATGCTGGCCGAACAAGGAAATACTACAAAGTTGGAGATGGAAATATTAGACCACGTAAATATAATTTATTTTCTAACGAAAATGTAAAGGATAAATGGGTGTTTGATAAGTATTATTTGATTGCAGCTTGGTACAAACGTACGTACAGTCATAAAAGCCACTGCCCCAGCGAGAACAAACATGTCGACATTGGCCAGTTTTCGTGCAAATAAAGAGAAACATCTAATCTCTCTTGTTACCAGTATACTACCTTCGCCTGATTGGTTCCTGGGAGTATATAATCTAGAATTATGTGATTCAAAAAACAATAGCTGGGCGGAAAATATTGTTCTAAATCTGTACCCTCTAGATGCTGGAACGGACAGTGGAAAAAAATTCGATGTAAGTTGAAAAATAATTAGCAATATCTGGATACTTATTCCGCTTCTTGGGGATCCAAAATCGTACCTACTTATCCAAATTCTTATATTATTAAAACTTGATCTGCTGTACCCATCTTTGTATTAACAAGTACGCCTACACGGTATAATACTACTTTTTCTTATTTGTCACAGTCACCAAATGAAGCGTCATCCCCGCCACAGCCAATAGGTCCAGCAGTTATAAATAAAGACGTAACGAAGGAGGATACAAAGCCCTTCGCGAGATTAAGGGTGACACTCATTCGGACGTATTATAACCCGAGTTGTCCGACAGAATCATCCTCACCCGCTTATACAGAAGGTAGAACAGAAGAAAGTAGCAAACAGATAATAACGTATGATCAAGAACCACGAATAGTTCCGTCTCACGGCTGGGTTTGGGTCTCCTGCTAAGGGTTTAGGGCATAGTTTCTCAAAGTGGTCCCTACCGGCCCAGTGGGCGCTGAAGAGTCCTAGGGGGCGGTAGGGGCCTCGGAAGCAATTAGGGGCGTTGATCGTGTCTGAGGCACAAAAGACCTGAATTATCTATGTACGCTACAACAGGTACATTACATATATAATTGCTTTTCGATGTGATTTTTTGTATTAAGTTAATGTAAAAAATACGTGTTTTCAACTATTTTTTGTGGTGGTGCGCGTAGAAATTTTTTTTTTGCCTAGGCGAGCGGTGAGTTAAAAAATTTGGGAACCTATGGTTTAGTGTAATAGTCCGCCACGCTAGAGAAATGAATAAATAGAAAGTAAATACTTTACAGCCAACGACCGATTGGCAACTTCAAATCCTGTTTTGAAATCGGTTAACTGTACAACTGCGAAAAATTACAGAAAATCATGTTTAAAAGTATTTTGAGGATTTTTTCATATTTAGTCGGTCTGAATCCTAAATAAGGCAAACAACTTTTTGAACGTCTTTGAATGCAGAATTACTTACTTTTAAAAATAAAATCATGTTTCTGTGAAGTAAAATAATCCTATTTACAACATACAATCCTCTGTCTCATAGCCATGGATCGATCTGGATATTTATCTAATTATAGTAAACAGTACACAGGCTGCCTCAAAGGTGTAGGTAACTATTTTATGCACATAGGTATTACGATCTCAATTACAATAACAATCTCCAACGTTTCTTGTCCAAACTAATAACAGATTTCATTACAAATTTCTAGAACCAGAGGAAAGAACAGATAACAGATGGACCAGACCTACCCCTCCACCGCCGCCACCAACGTTCCGACCAACGAGGTACATATTTCAGGACCACCTAATCAGATTGGCAGGCAATTCTTTGCAGGCCTTGGGATTCGGATTTTGAACATTGTTATTTGCACTCTGAAATGTCTTTAAATTTTTTGTCTCATATTCAACAGTGCACCTGAAGTACCACCAAGTGAAGACATACATTGTAATGGAGATTGGGAAGTGTTACCTTGCGAGGGACCTTGCGTGGAAGGCCAACGACAAGGCTTTCGATCGAAAATCTTCCACTTTTTTCGAAAAGAAGACGGGAGAGGCAGACGTAAAGATGAGGTAGATCATTGAAGCAAAGTTTTATCAATATTTGATCGACGACACGCGACCAACGGTGTCAATACACCGCGCGCAGGTCAGAAAAAGCTTTAACTCCATCATGCATTCAGAGCAATAGTCGGAAAAAAGTATTCCACATAGTTCTATAGATACATGTATAGATATGGCTACAAAGAGCAACATAGAATTGTTAAAACCACAGAATTTTACTTAATGACTATTTTCGAATTCGGGATTTGCGGAAATGGTTTTACTGCTGCGTAGGACAAAACTACTGACCTAGGATGCAAGCACTAGCACGCGCTCCCAGGCACTCGCAGGCAATCACATACAAATGGGTCTCAGCTACAGAAGACAATGAAGTACTTTGTCCTCGCTGATGAGTCTACCATTTAACTGAACATCCAAGATACGATATTCCAGTTTCGCGAAGTGGTTTTAAATAATATAATGCGTTGAGTCCACCAGGATCCCCTAGTGTAATGCCCCAGGGGATTTTTGCGAACTCAGCAGTTCATTACAATCCCCTAAGTTAAATGTATGTGAAGTTGCAACACATTGCGACAATAAATAATTACTTATTGTACCAATCGGTTGATAATGTGCTAGGTTTTGTAGGATTCGCTTCCGCTCGGACCGTGATACGTCATTTTCCCTCTTA